TAACTGCTAATCAAAAAGTCCAATTTTGCCAAATTTGATTAGCAAATTTAAAAATTGATTAGCAGTTTTTCAGTTTCAACATAAAACACCTAAATAACAAGATATTACTTTAGTTCATAACAAATATGATTAGATTCCATTCTTACTAATCTTAGATTTTTTTAGGACTGCCACAAGTACTTGTGACAGTTTGTGAATGTGATGTAGACATTTAGTTAGGTCTTATGTCTGAAGCCAATTCTTAACAGTGACTTCCGAAGCCCCAATCATTTTAATTGTTATTTTTTGTACGTTAGAAATCTTCGTTAGAAAACAATTCCGTCTGCTTTTTATCGTGATATTTTACGGGAATTTTTACTTTGATTTATCATTTTACAATACGTTAACATTTATTTTTTTATATTTTATTTACAATACGTAGAGGATACACTGGATTTATTTCTTTCAAAATATCATATAATTACTTGATGTCTCGCAACGTGAGTGGTACTACTTGATTCCCTGTTTCCGGTTTAATAGTCCCTATTCATAGAGTTATGTCCCTGTATTATATAGTACCGTATAATGAATTGTGTCTGGGTAGTTCGAGAAGAAAATGTCACACGGAGAATTCAGTTTTGTTTATAAAATTTTATTCAACATTTTATACTCGTTGAAATTGTTGAGAAAGCTTTCTAGTCTTCAAATGTGGATTATCCTTGTGTCAATATCCAAAATGACAGGGATATTAATGATTCGCAGTTACTCGCGTGCATAACCACTATATATAGCATTATAATATTACCAAATTTGGCAGCCATTGAGAAAGAAATGCCCGGCACCATATGAAAAATACATTTTTTAAATTGATGTTTGTCAAATTCGATTTTTTTGGCACATTTCGATTGCATAACCACTCTGTGTTTGAGGAATTTAAAAAGAAATCATTTATCCTCCCACCAGTAAATAGTAAAACGCACTGATTACGAGATATCGCTCTCAGAAAATTCCCCGATTTTGAGTATGATTTTGTCGGACATATTTATCACTGAACCAAAAATGCATAGGTTTATCCCTCAACGCCTAATACTGCAAGAAAAAAATGAAACCTTTTGGTAGTAAAGCTGTATGACGCCATGACGTCATAGCTTTTATGGTGTCATAATTGGGACCCAAAATGGCGCCTATACAATTGCGATGCGGCGATGGTTTACTTATTAGAAAAACTTGCCGCTTTTAGAAAGTTCTTACAATTGAGTCATTCAAAGAGTGTGTAGAATTTCCAGTGCAAATTTGTCCCTGCCTAAAGAAAATCGGATAAACTTGAGAGAAAAACAGCTTCAGACTTTGAAATCTTTGTATGATAAAACATTCTTCAAAGGCGTCGTCATGGGCAACGCCGTTGGTAATCTTGGAACTTGAAAGTAGTTTCTATGGCGGACCTCGTCACACAGCCGAGGCTAGATGTGGGGTACTAGAATCTGTTGAGGTTTGCCGAGTGAGTTGGGACCCAAAATGGCACCTGTAAATTGTAAATGAGTTGTAACTTTTCCTATACCAAGCTTTGATTAATCAATCAGACTGAGTGTTGACGTTTCTAGTGGTTTACCCACAGTTCCGTGCATCACACTCCAAGAAGTCGCATTAACAGATGGTTTCTTTGCCAAACCCCTTACGCCATCCAATAAGCAGGTTATATAACAACTCTCCCAGATCCTAGTGTAGTACAGACAATTAAAGGGAACTTTTGAACTATAAAAAAGGAAACGAAATCGGATCTGTGGTTTAATCAGATTGGACACCGTAGCTGAGCATGTTATTTTCCAACACAGAATAGTGGCCCTTGGATACAAAAATCCAAAATACAATATATTACTCACAATACACCGTTTCACTGGCAATACCCCTCTAGAAAAATACACAAACCTGCTATCATGTAAACGAAAATTTCAATTTCTTCACTTTCTTGCCAAATTGCGGTTGTGTCTACATATACGATACATGTTGGGGACAGCTATTATATCTCAATTGATACTCTGATCTATGTAGTAGGCCTAATGTAGCCAAGTCTTAGATTTTCGATTTGTTTTCCGGTTTCCAAAATGTGAGATTTCCACGTCCTCGCTACCACGCAGCTGGGTTCCACCAATTGTTTTTTTCAATCTTTAGACGAGCTATGCGAATAATCGTTAAACTGACAATGTTTACATGAACATTATATCCATAAGGTTTCATTTACACTATCATAAACACAATTATGCCGTATTCCGTTTAGTAATAAAACACTTTACCGTTTTATAAACGTAAACATTGTCTTCGATAACGTACCTTTCGTCTCCCAATTTGAAACCTCCTTGGTCGTATATGATCAAAGAGTTAATTTTAAATACATATTTTTAAATTTTAAACAACTACGAAATAAGATTAATTCATATCAAAATACATATGATAGTTTTCAAAATTTGAAGTCTTATTTAGTGTATATATTCACGCAGCTCTTTGAGACTTTGTGATTACCGATGTTGTGTTGTTTACCTCGTTGCTGCCCAATGCTGAATGGTATATTTGCTTCATATTTTCGAAAGTTACAAATTTCAAAGTCATTCTTTTTGATTTTGATCCCTTTTTATTGTTCAGTATCATCCCAAGCACATTTATATATCAAAAAAGGCACTAAACCTGTTGTGAATGACTTTTTGAGGACCAACATCCCCGCCCCACCCATGTCAAGTGTTGACAAATTTTGTCACTTTACATTGCCCTTAGCATTAAATTGGAAGTTACTTAATGAATAGCCTGATAAACCATTTAATATTAATAAGGAATGGTAGTTGTCAATCTGCTATTTCTTGTCAAAACTTCAAACACTCATAACTATATGCAAATAGTATAGTACTTTGACTGAAATTGTCAATATTTCATTTTTCCTGAGGCAACATATAGCAAAAATTGTCAGCTCTTTATCCAAGAAGTACATAATGTATCTTTAACATAAGCACTGTAAACATTATTTTTGTTCAGTTAGGCCGCGGTTAATTAATTGTCAGTTTGTGAAATATACATGGCACATCAGGGCACATTGGAAGACTTGATCATAATAAATCAGTTTAAATTATTAGTGATATGCTTCTAAGTTAAAGGTTTGTTAATTCATTCATTCTTAGCATTTCATTTCTTTACCCTTCCCTACTTTGACAGGTTACGAAATGACCCGTTCCAAACTGGTTAATGATTTGTTCTGACAAATAATTAAAAGCATACACTTGGAATTTTAAATACAAAATAAGTTAGATTATTTAACAAGTCAGTCAAAGAATTTACTACACACATGGTCGTTTCTCTAGCCGTGAGCGAAGATAGTACCAATGCCATGGAAATAGCCCGTATGTTAATTGTCGTCAACTTTGAAGTCAACTTTGAACACATTTTCGGCAAGAGGCATCATGATAATATAAATACTTTTATTATTTTGTCTATCTTAATCAAACTGTTGACATTTATTTGTTATCTCTGTGTCCTTTTGAGACAAATAATTATGGAAGTGCGTAATTATTACGGATGAAAACAGACATGCGGGCGGGTCATAAGAAACAAACAATTAATTAACCGCGGCCTTACAGTTGTGTACATATATATCTCTAAACAAATGTTTTTTGAAAATGTTTATTTTGCATTGACAATACAGTTCTTTATATCACAAGATTTCTTTTTTTGCCAAAACTAGTCTTATGATTTATTATGACAATGTGTATATTAGTATAACATTTGTTGGTAACATGCCCATGAAAGATATATAAGCTTACATCGAAATTGTTATTTATAACCCCTTGCATGGGATGAAATGGGATTTAAGTCCCACTCCAACTGCACTATAATGGAAATTTACCCGGACAATGGCACTACATCCTACATTTTGAAACATACATTGGCCTTTTCTGGCAAGGTTCCCCCCATGTCAGTGGTGCAAGGGACAATGTATAGTATTTCGGGTGTTACGAAAAATACAGGTCTTGCATAGACGTTGCTATGCATGTAAAATAATCCTTGGCATCAGCAGTTCTTTATTAGTTGCCTACTTGGTGCAGAAAAGCAGGAAATTAAAGCCCATTTCATAACATATTGAAAATAATTTGGATTGGAACAATTTTTAAGCTTTTTTAAATTATACTTTAATAGTAATTGTAAACATAATACTTTATAAATTATAGATTTTTCATCCAAATCACAAATAATAAATATATTATATTTAAAACACTGAAGGTTAAATACACAACACAACAATATCACAGAGCTCTTTATACTTGGTAACAACACTAATTACAATTCTAATATAAAAATAAATAGAAGTTAAAATCCTCTTTAAGTTGGCCTTAATATACAAGGCAACTAACTCACTTGGAATCGTTCGATGTACAGAGAGTGATACAAAAATTTGCATTTAAATGAATTTGTATTATATTATTATTAAAGCCCCAATTATTGAGATGCCAGAATAAAGATAAAAAAAAAAGTATATTAACTAATAGACATTGGTCCAAATAATATTCAAACTGTGGCCTTGTATTGTGTCTAACAAAGGTAAATTAACAAATAATTCTGATAGGACAAGTCAACCCATTATTTTAATACACTGATTTACTTCCTATGAAAATATTCCACAGGTGTGACTTAAGCAGAGCATATAGCTGGTTGTGCTATTTATATATAATCAAATTTCATTGCCATGTTTAGATTAAATAAAAGATGATACTGTATAGCTAAAGCCCAATAAAAGTCAGTGTGCTATTTTAAACATGCAAAACAAGGAGTCCATTGTACATAATCATTGAGTTGGATCTCAAAGGCAGACCTTGCATTACACTGTAATATGTAGGCATTCAAGTATTGGGTTTCTTTCTATTCATTTCAGCAACAATATATTACTGACTTTAAAAGGAAAACACCTGACCTGAATTCAAGTAGATTATAAGTATTTAATATGGCAATACATGTACATTTTATTGGAGGCATCACAATCTATTTTTAAGTACAAAGTAAGTAAAAGTTCTGATAGGCAGTTTAAGGTCAGACAATAAAAAACACCAATGAAATAATATTTAAAACTTATTCTGGATGTATCTCTCTGGAGAATATTTTAAGTCCTGATGCACCATTTTAGTGCTATAGGAATCTCTTAAAGGGATATCAGTCCAAAAATGGTTAAATTTCTTTCAGTATTTACAAAGATATGTGGAATTGAAATTTCATCGATCTATGCTACTTCGAATTTTGATAGTAATAAACCCAAGCCATTTTGTTGTCCACAAAATTTATTTGGTAGGCCTTTTTTTTACATCCAATTAAACATGCAAATGGCACATCGTTAGTTTAACAAATTTTCTTACATACAATATAATCAAAGCTGCCAAAGATTTTTTTTACTCTGAACGGTCATCGAGACAGAAAATTCTATATATTCCAACATGATCATCAACTGACAGACTCCATAGCTTTTTGAGATACTGAAAATTGTTCACTATTTAAAGTCATGGGTTTCAAAATGCCTGATCTATTCACAACATCGGATTCAGTTTGTGACCTTTGACCTAGTTGAAATTCAATAGGAACATCTAAAGGTCCATGGATGGCAGGGTCATATGGGATCCTAAATAAATGGTTGTCTCTTTCTGGATCGTTTAATGCTTGAATATGCCTCTGCCACAAAATTTGTCTTTGTGTGTGATAAACACTGAAAAATAAAGGCACATGTTTAACGCTTACAATGATGTCTCTGGATAATTTGGATTAAAAAAGACAGGTTGTTACACAAGAAAACATTTGCGCACAGAAGCTAAGTTGTCAGAGCATTTACATTGTCACATTGTGAATCATTAAGTAAATAAAAGCAAAACCTTTATGTTGCATAACATTTTTGGCGTGCTGACAAGATAATATGACCTAATAAAGGGCAATTATCAGATATTGTAATAATTTCTATTCATTAAATAATAGCTGCAATGAACATATATGTATTTAAACCAAACAACCCATTATGGAAGTTAAAATCTTATGAAAGTTTAAAATTAGAGCAAAAAAATTAACTTACTTGAAATCTTGCCCTTTCATTTGAATAAATTTAGAATGTTTATAATCATAAGCAGGGATGACATTTTTATCGAGTATCAATCTCCGTTCATCTATTGGACCAGGTTTAAAACCCTTATTATAATCTTTATATTCATCAGGATTTGCAGATTCCAAAACTCGTCCTTCTGATCTAGCTGCTGTATCTACTCTTGGATTTAAAACCACATTTAGAGGTGGAATAATTTTAGCAGCAAATCCTGGCTGTTTCAAAGCGTATTTTTCAGGCTTATTTTTCAGTAGACCAGTTAGACGTTCAAGTTGATTACTTGATTTAAAACCAGATTTACATAATTCTGTTTCTGGCAAACAGCGATGATAATATGAACGTGTATCGGCAACAACAATTTTCGATTTCCATGTTTCTCGTTCTTTTTGTTGAACTTGTAATTTTTCTTGTCTCAACTTTTCACCAGCCAGATGTATGGTTGTAGGTTCATTAGGATTAAAATATGGTAGTGGACGTCGATACAGATCTATATCATAACGTCTATAATCCCAGGGATATCTGTCTCTATCTAATGTGGATTGAAGGTGATTCACATGAAGAATATTTTCTCTCCATGGCTGAAATAGTTAATTTATAAGAAAGAATTAAAAACTGTTTGGATTGCAATAACTTAACCTTTTCAATTCTGATTAAACAAATTCCTATAAATGGAATATGAAGGTCTTTATTTTATAAGAACATGAAAATATACGACATAATTTTATCCATGAACCAGTCATTATGGCAACATCATTCATAACTTTGTAGGCTAAGACACAGTCTACATCATAGAATATAATCTGTGACATATTCTGTGTTATAAATTTCAATGATATAAATATCTTTAAAACGGATATACATATCTATTATATAAATATCTATGAGATACATATCTATGACATAAAAATCTGTGATATAAACATCTTTGATATAAACATCTTTGATATAAATATCTGTGATATAAATATCTGTGATATAAATATCAATGATATAAATATCAATTATATAAATATTAGTGATATAAATATTAGTGATATAAATATTAGTGATATAAACATCTTTGATATAAACATCTATGATATAAATAGCTGTTATATAAACATTTGTGATATAAACCTACTTGACATAATGATTCTTTACGTGCTTCACCAATATCATTAGGATGAGCATTACTTTCTAACATAGTCTTCATACCAGGTTGTATCCATCCACTCTGTGTGAGCCATCTTGCTTTAGATTCCTGTACACTAGCTTTCTTTAATTCTTCCACATTAACAGGAACAACAGTCATAGAATGATGGTAATCTTGACAATATGTGTATCTTTTATCTGAATTCTATACGTCATACAAAAAAAAAAAATAACAAGAATTGTACATACATGTAGTTAGTACCGGGTAACTCTCTATAGCTAATTGTCAGAATTTGAAAGGTCAAGTCTTACAGAAAAATAAACTAATAGGCTGAAAAGAAACTGAGCTGCACCTTCATTCTACAACTATAATCGACAATGCAGACATGACATTGCAGTCTTTGCTCAATGTACAAAAATAATTATGAATAAGTTACATTGATTATAAAATAAATAAGATTGTATGCAAAATTTAAGACATATCTGCCAAGCCATTGCCAAGACAAATGCATAACTTACACAGGATTTTTTTTTTGATTTGTTTGATTTTTGTTAAGTTGGTGAATTTAATATATTTTTGATGTGATATCATTCCTCTATAACTAGGTAAAGCTAAATCATGTTTTTGCTATATATTGTACACATGTAGAGAACATGATTAGTGGAAGGCAAGTGGGAGAAATCTCAAGTTTAAGCACATATCCATTTTTTTTTTAGGAACTCTCTCCCTAGCTGACATATCACAAAGTGTCCCCATAACCCACCTGGAACTAGAAAGCTTCAACAGAATATAAATCAGATTCCTCTTAAAAGTTAAACCAGAAAACTTTGTAAAACCAGAATTGGAACATCTTTAGGCTGAGTGTAAAATTGTCATTTGATCATTTATTGTGCAATGCATGTGGATATGTTGACAGGACAGCTGCTACTATGATACCCACTATTTTATGAAGCTGTCGAAATGAACAACTATTTTCGTGAAAGACTGAAAAATTTCCAGCCAGAAATAAAATGGGATTTAACATTCTACTTTCCTGCATTGACAAATGAAGACAGCCAATGGTAGAAAAAAAATAACAAGAGTAATTACCGCTGATAAAGCTTTCCTGAGTTTTTCTTTACCAAGATCCATTGAATTTAGAGTTTGTGTACTGTAATTATGTGCTGTATGAACATCAGCCCTCATAGTTAATACTTGTGTTCTCTCTCTTACTCTTCTATTTAAATAACTCTGATTTTCTACAGCAGCCTGGATAATAGAATTTAATTAGATCAAACAATATAAAGAATTTGGAATGGCTGGACTTCTTTCAAAACGAATCCTCTTGAGCAGCTTTACAAGCTGGATTTTGGCACTATACAAGTTCAATAAATCATGTAGTCAATAAACATACAATTAGTACAGTAATTATTTCAAGAAAAGAACAAATAATAATAGAAAGCATACAATCACTAATTAATAAAACATACACAACTTTGTTAGAACATATTTCTAATTGATTTTCCTTAGAGAAAACATGAGACATTCAAGATTCACCACTGTAAAAGGATTGTGTAATATATAAATATAAATGAGAGAGAGAGAGAGAGAGAGAGAGAGAGAAATGGGGTTTAACATCCACTCAAAACAAACTAGGTCATTTTGGGACTAACATATGGTTCAATTTTATTTCAATAATTTGTTTTTGCGGAGGGGACTTTAGCAGTGGGAGGAAACCAGAGGACCCAGAGAAAACCCATAAGATTGGACAGGCAGCCCTACTCCTTGTTGACTCAATGACATACCTTATGATACAGCATGCACATGCTTACCATTCAGCCATCTACCCCCCACCCCCACCTATATAAATAACAAAGTATTGCTAAAATTTACAAACCTTATTATTTTGTATAAAATCTACTGTTTGTTGTCGGCCTTCTTTCTCAGCTAACATGGTTACATATTCTTTATTAACATTATCAATAGGTGTCCAATTTCTAGTTGTTCCTAGTATTGATGGTTCTTTAATCATTGGTGGTGGTGACTTCTTTAACTCAAATTCAGGTCGAAGTTCTATAGAAAATTTTGAAACAAATACAAATCATGTAAGTTATTCATTTCCAATACCAGATTTGTCCCAGATAAAAGTTTATGAACCTGCATGGAATACTCAGAGGACTTTATGCTATCCCTGTACAACTATCGGAAGCGCTGTGTAGGGGCGGATACTTTATCATCAAGGAGAGAGATGGGATTTAATATCCAATCCACACAAACTAGGTCATTTCGGGACTAACATATGGTTCAATTTTATTTCAATAATTCGGTTTTGGGTAATGGACTTTAGCAGTGGGAGGAAACCAGAGGACCCCAAGAAAACCCACGAGGTTGGACAGGCAACCCTACTCCTTGTCACATACAACCAGGGAATCGAAACCACAAACCTCCCTCCTGCAAAAATTCCATGATCTGCCCATGCTGTGGTACTGTTTCACAGAGATACCAACTTTCAGTTTCCATGCTTTTGATAAATCTCCGAATTCCATGCTATCCATAATGCCTGATAAGTAATCTATATATGTTACAGTCAACCTGTGTAATCCGTCATTTCACGTAATCAATTAGTCATTTAGCGAAGAGCCTGTGAGCACCAGTCAACACGTATAATGACTGAAAAATCCAGACATTACACAAAATGCCTAAAATTCCTACCTTCTTTCAACACTTAATGCCTGATTGCAGATTTTGCAAATCAGGCAATATGTGTAGGCCTAACACATAAAATGACAATGTTGTCATTGTCTGATGGACACATCTGTTCATTTCAAAGGTTATAATTTACTGTGATAAAATGCAGTCCATAATCGCTGTTTTTATACGCCCACATTTTTATGTGGACGTATATTGTCGTCCCCCCTGTCCATCCTTCCGTTTGTGGACTCCCTACATGTCACAATTCTTATCCGATTTTGACGAAACTTGAAATATAGCTTATCACCAAAAGATCTTAGTTGCTTTCGATATTGCCATGTATCGGATCGAAACTGCATGGATTATGGCCCATGATTGTACAAAACATCACGTTTTTAGCTTGTGGACACTCTACAGGTTACGGTTATAGTGGTAAGAGAGTGTTGCTATTAATAAGTCATGGCACAATTTCTTGATTAAACTTTTAAGTGATCACTTCCTTTCTAACATCCTTAAATTTGGTTTACAGGTGAAAGTTGTGTGAAGTTTATGTTATTTAATTGACTAGCTGTGGAATCTCTTATTTTAATTCAGGGTTTTTTTTTTGGGGGGGGGGGCGGGTAAATTTCACAAAACTTCTGTCAAATCTCCATATTGTAAATTATTTTATCAGAACCAATATGATAAATTTAAGTAACTGTGTGAATTGCAGAAGATCTCATTCAACAACACGAAGAGCTAAGTAAATTTTAAGTTGATTAAAATCTGACAATTAAAAAGTTGTAATATCATTTCATCTAATAAAGTAATAAAGTTAATTCACAATACATACCATCAAAATCTTCAGCTGTAAATGGAACACCAAATTCTCTACTCATACATATAACCATCTCAGATGTTGGAAACAAATCATTTCTAACAGCATCCCTCAGTTTATCAATGGTAGATAGCTAAAAAAAATAACATCAAACATCATAAATTTCAGCTACTCTAATTGTCTTGGTCATAGTTGTCCAAGCATCTTTCAAACCAATCCGTTTATGGAAATTAACTGTAATTACATTTATCAGATACGAACTGATATCAAATAGCTTACATAAATTACAATATCTATATATACCTGGTGTAATTTGACTAGAGATTGGAAACAAAGTTTTGGCACCATGTCTCGAACATATAATAATGACTGCTGAACTATCACTGACAATGGTTCATGTAACTTAATGCGACATAAATCCACATCTAATGCTCTATACAGTCTCTGACTAAAACTCATATCAGAATTATATAATACTTTTGTATCTGTAATTCAAAATAAATAGACATTAAATAACAATGTATAAAATATTATATATATCTGTTTCTATTAATACAAAATTAATATCAATATCATTCGTAACGATATGTGGTGTGTAAATTGTAATGTCAACCTTGCAACTGAAAGCAACAGGTGTTTCGACAACTGAATGCAACTGAAAAAGGTTGACCTGAGTGCCTCTTACAACTCAAAGCAACTGACGGCAGCCAGTTGACCCGGGTGCCTCTTACAACTCAAAGCAGTCGACATAAGCCCCTCTTTATAAAGAACAATTACTAACTTTCAAAAACAAAAAATAACAGACGACATTCCTTTTATATAGACTGCTTCCAATATTTTTTTAATCTGTTTTTATTTTTATCAACTCTTACCAGAATTTTCTTCCCTTGGTAAAGAGTTCCATAGAAGTTTCAATGCTTTATCTCTTAACCCTTCTAATACAAATATATGGTGTTTACTATCCATTAATTGAAAACCTGTTATTATATCTAAATCACGACTTTCTTGCTGTTGTCTACAAATACAGAATACAAATACAAAATTAATGTTGGTATGCCCCCATTGAGTGTCATAGTAGACAAATATGACAGGAAAATATAATATAATGTAATAACAACCAGTGGCTGCCAGGCAGTATACGCCCACATTTTCGAGAGATGGATAGAAAACAAGCTAAAACGAAAGTGATTTTTCCTACAATCAAGGGCAATAATTCAGGAAATTACAATTCGATATGCGCAAATATCGAAAGGAACCAAAACCTTTGGGTTATAAACTTACATTTCAAGTTTCAACAAAATCGGATAAAAATTGTGACCTCTATAGGGTCCACAACCTTGATATACCATATTTTTACGCAATTTGAGAACGAGGGGCGGCCATTTTGTCTGTCAGTTTTGGGCCAATATTTCACGAAATTCGAACTCAGTCGTCCTTAGGGTGTAACGGTGATATAATAATACGTTTTTTTAAATCGGATAAAAATTATGACGTCTATAGGGTCCACAAGCTAAAAACGCAATTTTCCGTACAATCAGGGGCCATAATTCAGTAAAATACGGTCCGATATGCGCGAATATCGAAAGGAACCGAGATCTTTGGGTTATAAGCATACATTTCAAGTTTAAACCAAATCGGATAAAGATTGTGACCTCTACAGTGTTCACAAGCCAAAAACGGGATTTTTCGTCCAATCAGGGGCCATAATCCATGAAGTTACGGTCCGATACATGCCAATATCGAAAGGAACCGAGATCTTAGGGTGATAAACCTATATTTCAAGTTTCATTGAAATCGGATAAAAATTGTGACCTGTAGACTGTTCACAAACAATTGTGGATGGACGGACGGACAGGAGCGACGACAAAATACGTCCACATGAAGATGTGGGCGTATAAAAATGCAATAAAAATAGACTAGAACACAAAAATACCACATTGGGAATGATTATTATGAATTCAAATACATGAGTAGTGTTGGTATCTGAAAATGTGACCGTAAATTTATTGACTTGTAAATCAAAATCACCATTAAAACTTAGTATTTATTGCCTGATGTTGGTAGCTATAATTTGTCAACTTATAATTCAATCCTCCATTGAAATCTAGTATTTGTTGACTTATTGTCTTATAAAACCATTATTGATAGTTAGTGTTTTTAAGCCAAAGTATTGATTGACTTATAAACCACAATTGAAAGTTAGTATTATAAGCCTCCAAGGTATTTGTTGACTTAAAATCCAACATTGAAAGTTAATATTTGTTGACATATATAATTGTCCATCGTCATGTCATGACATGAATTGGAAGCATGCAGTTATCAAGAAGACAATGGGTTTATTAAATATTGACTTACATTGATAATTTATAAGTTGATAAGGCAGCGTTCATAACATGTTGAGGCATACCTTTAAGATCAAGTGCTTCAACATTTAGATCTGTTATCATCTGTTGTAAATTGTTTAACATGACTGTATTATGATAATTAAAAACATACACTAGGCGACCAAATGGACACTGTTAAAAAAAAAAAACACACACCATTTTAATAAATGTTCTGATTGTACCATGAAAATACTACAGATAAGGACATGTAAATCCAAAATCAATTGGCCTTTTATTCAGGCCTTCACATGAATAAATACCTGAAGAGTCAAAAAAAAGGCCCTCCTGAAATTAAAAAAGGGTAAATCACTCTCCTGAGAAAGCTCTCCTGAATCTCTTTAGAGCTTTTTTAGCATTTGTGATAAGAACAGGGATTTTAATCCATTTTGAAATCAACTGGCCAGAATTGGGTTAAATGAGGCCCTGGTAGGAAGTGGGGTAATTAGAAGCTCCTGTTAAACATACATTATGCAAGAGCTAAATCTGCCTAGTGCAAGTCTTTATTTACACTTCAGATTTTATAGAAATTATTAATTAGACCTTTTATTTACATGAAAGGCTCAAAATCAACTCTGTAGACCCTCGGATGGCTTGGAAGTTGGATACAGCTTGAAATTAAACAGTCGTTCATTTAAAATTAAATCAATAAATGGGGTACTAAGCCAACGTTTACCGTTAGTCACTGACATCACTACCGGAGACTGGTGATGAAAGGCCTGCCAAGCCATGGTATTTGATAGCCATTGAAAATGTTACTTGATAATCAAGAATGTGTGGGTGGAGTTATCGTCTGTGTTTAACGTCCACTCAACACAAACTAGGTCATTTTGGTACTAACATAGGGTTAATTTTTATTTCAATAATTCGCTTGCGCATAGGGGTCTTTAACAGTAGGAGGAAACCGGAGGACCTGGATAAAACCCATGAGGTTGGACAGGCAACCCCAGTCCTTCATGTTTATAAAATTGTGCGGAAGCCATAAAAAGCTCCTGATACCTTGAATATATGCAGTTTAAAAGTGAACAAAAACTGAAAGTAGTTTATTAATCTCAATATTTAGGAGAGAGATTTAGCTAATTTGCAGGAGTCTTTAATGACTCCTTCGAAGGAAAGCCGACGTGTGTCGAGAGGAGCAGGAGCGAAATCTCCCATTAAACGTGAAGGACTGCAACCCTACTCCTTGTCACATACAAGTGGGGAATCGAAACCACACCAGTTGACTCAATGACAGACCTTATGATACAGCGCGCACATGCTAACCATTTGGCCATCCAACCCCCCTAAGTAGCCAAAATAAGCAGATAGGACATCATGGCATTTCTTCATATTGAAAACACAAATTATTGTTTTTGCCTATCAGTAACTTACAAAGTTTTTATTCATTCATGGATGATAAATGGCACAATGATCATGTGACAACCATAATTGAAATTGCTTTATATAAAATAAAATTCCGTACAACTATGCCACAGCCTTAAATAATAAGGACAATATTTTTAAAAATAATTCCCTGTCAGCATGTGTATAAAATAAACAAGCCAACAGTGAGGCTGATGTCCCCCGCCGAAATCCCAAATAAATAGATGACACATATTAATTAATCGCACATCTATTTTTTTCAAAAGTATCGAGCAATCAAACTGATTATCAACTATACACTAAGTTTCATCACTCTCTATCAGATAGAATCAAAGTTATCTTGTCCCAAAGCATCGACCAAGGAAATTGCTTATCTCTGCTTAGCTTTAGCTCAATATGTTAATCATTGAACTCAGTCAAGACGAACATCTACATCAAGTTTAAACATTCTACCTCAATTAGAAGCAGAGTTGTTATGTTCCAAAGTCTTGACCAATCAAAATGCTTATTGCTCCTTAGCCTAAGCAGACAATTCTCATCATCGAACTTAGTCAAGGTATTGATGTAATGAAACTATACACCAAGTTTCATCACTCTTACTTAATTAGAACTAAAGTTATCTTGTCCCAAAGCATCAACCAATCAAATTGCTTATCTCTACTTACCATAAGCAGAAAATGCTCATCTTTGCACTCTATCAAGGCATTGGCCCAATAAACACCTACACCAAGTTTGAACATTCTAGCTCAATTAGAACGAGAGTTATTGTGTTCCAAAGTCTTGGCCAATCAAATTGCTTATCGCTCTGCTTACCCTGAGCAGAAAATGCTCAATATTGAACTTAGTCAAGGTATCGATGTAATGAAACTATACACCAAGTTTCATCACTCTCACTAAATTGGAACTAAAGTTATCGTGTCCCAAAGCATCAGCCAATCAAATTGCTTATCTCTACTTACCCTAAGCAGAAAATGCTCATCTCCACACCCCTTTAAGGCATTGACCTAATAAACACCTACACCAAGTTTGAACATTTTAGCTCAATTAGAGGGAGAGTCATTGTGTTCCAAAGTCTCGGCCAATAAAATTGCGTATCGCTCTGCTTACCCTGAGCAGAAAATGCTCATTATCAAACTTAGTCAAGGTATTGATGTAATGAAACTATACACCAAGTTTCATCAATCTCGCTGAATTAGAACTAAAGTTATCGTGTCCCAAAGCATCAACCAATCAAATTGCTTATCTCTGCTTACCCTAAGCGGAAAATGCTCATCTTCGAACTCCATCAAGGCATTGACCTAATCAACACATACACCAAGTTTGAACATTCTAGCTCAATTAGGAAGAGAGTTATCGTGCCCCAAAGTATCAACCAATCAAATTGCTTATCTCTGCTTACCCTAAGCGGAAAATGCTCATCTTCGAACTCCATCAAGGCATTGACCTAATAAACACATACACCAAGTTTGAACATTCTAGCTCAATTAAAAGTTATCGTGTCCCAAAGCATCAACCAATCAAATTGCTTATCTCTGCTTACCCTAAGCGGAAAATGCTCATCTTCGAACTCCATCAAGGCATTGACCTAATCAACACATACACCAAGTTTGAACATTCTAGCCCAATTAGGAAGAGAGTTATCGTGTCCCAAAGCATCAACCAATCAAATTGCTTATCTCTGCTTACCCTTAGCGGAAAATGCTCATCTTCGAACTCCATCAAGGCATTGACCTAATAAACACATACACCAAGTTTGAACATTCTAGCTCAATTAGGAAGAGAGTTATTGTGTCCCAAAAAGTGTGACAGACAGACAGACGGACAGACGGACGGACGGACGGACGGACGGACGGACGGACGGACGGACGGACGGACGGACAGACAGACAGACAGACAGACAGACAGACAGACAGACAGACAGACAGACGAACCCATTTTAATAGTCCCCTGCTTTCTTCGAAAGGCGGGGGACAAAAAGAATAAAACTAAAACGCTATTTAAAACTAAATCTAGCAGTGCTGGTTCATTGATTAATTCCAACCGATGTATGTCACGTGTTATCAGGAATCGGAAAGCATCGGAGATCCTGACGGAAAAATATATTATCAATGTCTGTTTCTCGGGGAATCCGGTTTTCTGTCAGGGATTATTCAATGACTATTTAAATTTAACTAAGAATGGGTCAGTGAAACCATAAAATGTATTATCCAATTATCATTTTAATATCTACTTGGAATTCGTATGGATCGAGCGTCGAAGACAGTGCGAATCCCAAGCTTCACAATCCATGCCGAGTGAGATGTCTTCATTCACCAAGTGGCTTATTTTTTACAAAGGAAACTTACTGGACCTGTTATGAATAACCAGCAAGCTTGTTTTGTTTTTTTACCGAATTATCAAAATTACTGTTAAATGTGCTAATTACTCAGATTATGAACCAGTTGGCCGATTCTCACTAAGGTATGATTGTTACTGTAGCCAACAAGCAAATTGATTGTCGATATTGACAGTATTTTTCGTTAACGGTATATTTTTCCTGATTATTTTCTTTGAGGGGAGTCAATTTAGACATTGAGGCGAGCGATAAAAAGTGCACCTCGACTGACATCCAGACATGCCCAGGAAAGCGAGAGCTCTCCTTTTACGATAACGCTTGTATATTAAATCAAATATACTCTTTATAACTTAAAATTGATATTTTTCTTAACATAATATTATTGTAGAAATAACAATCAAGGGTTATTTTTCATGGTTTCATTATAATTATATTGTCCAACATTTAGTGTGTTTTTTATGAGGTTATGTATAACTGAAAATTTGTTTATTTTAGAACCTTATGTGAACTCTGCGATATAAATTGCACCACAAAATTTACCTCAAATGTTGTCGCTAGATCTTCTTTTGCTTGTATTTTATCTGGTGTAACTAAAGGTACAGCTAGTTCTATTTTCACTTTTAACATTGCATTATGTTTTAAATAATGACCAGCAGGTAGAGGTTTCTCAACTATAAATTAACAATGAATAATTAAATAATTTCTAACAATATGTATACAAATTCACGTTTTGATTTAATAAACAATCAAATGCAAATTTGGAATAATTCTATGGGTTATTCTAATTATTTTATTTGTCTTGGACATGATAGTATGAACAGAAATAATTTTCCTCCTCTGCTCTGTACAACAAAATTTACCTCAAATATATATGAAATCTGTCTTTAGAGGCCATCTTTGTAACCAAACTTGATTGAAGGAGTGCCTTTTTAAGAATGTATTTGTCGTTACTTACTGTCCATTTACTAGCTATAAGCTTACATATTGAAGCCTAAGTAAATTCTTGATAATCTTCTGCTAACTTCTTTTTCCGCCGTTTAATTGCAGAGTCGGTTGTACGTTTACACCCCTCAATGTTCCCCAAACCACCTAACCATTCGATCAAGAAATAACAACTGCTCCATTAGTCAAGCTGGCAGAAAATAAGCCGTTGGGTTGCCAGTTAGTGATACTCTGACATATTTGTCCAGTGCTTGCTCCATGGGTGTTTTCCGAAGAATTTAGTATTTTTCTAATAAAATTGGGCGTCTCTACTTTCCATATACCAAATTTGCCCCACTTTTATTGGAAATAACTACCCTATAATTACTTTCGTCAGAATGTATTTTTAAAGGAATTAGACTGACTAACCAGGTCCATCAACAGCTCCTGCTACTCCCATGATTCTACCATTTTTACTGGATTCTAAACCTAATACGTCCGGTAGTGGACAGTTGTGTATAGGTATCTTTAGATGAAGATAGCGATGTCCGAGTAATAATTCTGAGAGATTAACTTTAGATACACCATAAGGGTCCCATGGTTTGTTTCTTCCATGAAATGGATTGTGAACGGTTCTTCTACCTGAAACAAATATATGTTACAGCATAAAAAAGAAATATCCTCAGAAACTCTGATCTGTGTGTTTGTGATTGTGAAAATAACCAACGCTTCTTTCCTAAACTGACAAGTCCACTGCTTTTTTTACACAACTAAAGAGGCCCCACTCTACAACTAGTAAAATAAAAGTTGAATGTAAATTCTGTAAAATGTTGTGCCAATGATTAGAATAAAAATCCTTCGTAAGAAGCTTTTTCTATCGATAAGAGTTAATCAAACAATCTTTTCCTTACTTGAAACAGTACCAACATTACTAATCTTTTCATCTTCTAAATCATCTCCAAATAAAGTTGGTTTTAATTTAACATCTTCACATTTTCTATCTCTATCATGAATCTCAACTTCTAGTGCTGGTCCATTTAAATATTCTCTTAATTCAGACTTCTCCATATGCCCTAATAAAAATAAAAAATTAAAAAATAATTAATGAGTGCCATTCTATGAAAATGAGGCAGAATAAAATAAATTTAAATAGTGCAGTAAAATTGAGTTTAACATCCTACTTTTTTGCACCTACCACGAATGAAGATGGTTATATGCCATGAAGTGTGCGAGGAGAGAAATTTCAAAATTATGCCTGTATCTTGCCTGTAAACGAATAATGATGATAAAATATAAATTTACCCAATAAAACAACATTTGTATCATCCCAGTAAATATTTTCACCATGTTCTTTACCAACACTAATATGTTCTGGTTGTTTATAAAACTTGTATTTACAATAAACTGGGTGACACCTACAAAATAAACAAAGAAAACATGATTATTTTAGAGAGAATACAATACAAATTCTGACTACATGAAATTTAAAAATTATCTATCTTACAGATACAAACACTAGATAATTTCCTGGCTTGGATTCAATCGGATTAAAAACAAGCCCATCATGTTCATGGCAAACATAGATGGCAGCAGGCTTGTTACACAGGGAAATGGAATTTTGAATTTGCCAAACCCTTGTAAATACTAAACAGAATTGAATCATTTTTGGACTGATATTCCTATTAAAGATTGTAGTTTATAAGGGATTTTTCATGCTAGGTTCCTATTATCACGGTTCGTGCTACGATTGAAATCGGGCTTTTAATTGTGGAGTAATCGTGGTGATCCTATCAGATCTTATCATATATTGAGGTCAGTTGTAGCAATCTTCTTGACTCTATCGAAACGTATCTGAACATATCTGCACGTAGCAGATCGTGGAATCAAAAGGGACAATCCTATCCTAATGGATCGCACGACAGTGGGAACCTAGTATTAGCATTAAAGTGAGAGTCTTTAAATAACTAGTTTGTTTACACTTTGCGAATCAAAGTTATCCATATTAATCTGGTACTACATACTATACTTACTTGGATTTCATCTCAGAAAATGACATCGGTGTATTTGGCATATCTGATGCTGAATGTATTTTTATAATCATTGGATTTAATTCATGTTTTATTTTCTCACTCATCAGTGGACTGTCTAAGGCCACAGTTATGAACATATCTTCTACACCAGCTACTGGATGTTGTAGTCTACTAGTCACACTTTTCATATCTAATAAAACAAAATCCATTAAATCAAACATTAAAAATGCATCATGCAAGAGCTAAATCTGCCTATAGCAGGTCTTTCTTTAAAGTAGCTAAGTCTCTAACTCAATATCATCCAAAACCTTCGACAATGAAAACACAAATTTAATCAACATTGGTGTTGTGATCTTACTGGGAAAAGATAGGCTTCTGATATCCAATATTTAAGACAAGATAAACATTTTACGATTGGTACACAAATTGTGTACCATAATGCGTTTCAAGCGATTTGTAACAAGCGACTCGGAAGAACAAGGTTAGACATATTCCACAAGTCATGTCAAACAGTGACCCCACATTCTTCTCTGGAGAGCATGCGCAATAAATACTATCGGCGTAGAGTGGAATAACCAGACGCTAGGGATTGCCATTCGATTGAGACTTCTGGTGTATTAGAGTAAAAACGGAAACGATTGAATGTAAATCAGTTTTTGTACATTCATGTTACATTATTATTTACGTTGCGACCCATTTGTGTCAATGTGTAGGTCCCAAATATTAGCGATTTAGCTCCTTTAAGTCTAAAATGTTATATAAATAATCAATTAGACATAAGTTAACTTATCCAGACCATAATCAACTCCTTATGCCATATTTAGTGGATTTGAATACATTTTGTGATAGATAATTTAACGTAAAAAAGGATAATCGAGATTTGTTTATTATCATACCAGCCTAAAATTGAATCCTTAATATCTCGGTTAAGAGTGAAGCAATTTAACTGAGATTTTCAGCATATTATCTTTTCATTATCTATTTTTTAACTATTATAGCGAGATCTGTCAGCTCTTTATGTAATCTTAAACCAGCGGTACCAGGCAAGATACGCCCACATTTTGCAAAGATGGTAGAGAACAAACTAAAAAAAAAAGCAATTTTCGTACAATCAAGGGCCATAATCCTGGAAGTTATGGTCTGAAATGCACGAATATTGAAATGGACTGAGATATATGGAATATAAAGATATATTTCAAGTTTCATCACAATCGGATCAAAATTGTGACTTCTAGAGTGTCCACAACCTTGGTATTACATGCATACTTTTACACTATTTACGTAAAAGGAGTAGCCATTTTGTCCGGCAGTTTGGGTCAGATTTTTACGAAATTTGAACTCAACCTTCATTGATGTGTAATGGTGATATATATACGTTTTTTAGAATTGAATACAAATTGTTACCTCAAGCAGGTCCACAAGCTAAACATGTGATTTTTTTGAACAATCAGGGGCCATAATCCAGGAAGTTACATTCGGATATGCGTGATTATCGAAAGAAACCAAAATCTTTGTGATATAAACATAAATATAAAGTTTCGTTAAAATCAGATCAAAATTGTGGCCTCTAGAGTGTCCACACTCCACAGCCTTGATATAGTACACTCTTTGCATATGAGGGGTGGCCATATTGTCTGGCAGTTTTGGTCCAATTTTCACAAAACTCGAACTCAACCATCATTAGGGTGTAACAGTGATATATTCAAATGTTTTTTTTAAATCGGACCACAAGCTAAAAAACGCGATTTTTCGTACAATCAAGAGCCATAATTCAGGAAGTTATATCCGATATGCGCGAATATCGAAAAGAACCACGATCTTTGGGTTATAAACATGTATTTCAAGTTTTATCAAAATCGGATCAAAATTGTGACCTCTAAGAGGGTCCAAAACCTTGACATTTCTAAACTACTTGCGTACGAAGGGCGGCCATTTTGGTTCGATTTTCACGAAATTGGAACTCAACTGACATTACAGTGATATATTCATACTTTTTTTTAAATCGGATATGCCAATATCGAAAGGAACCAAAATCTTTTGGAGATTAACCTATATTTAAAGTTTCGTCAAAATCGGATAAGAATTGTGACCTGTAGAGTGTCCACAAATAAATGTGGACGGACAGGGACAACGACAATATACGTCCACATGAAAATGTGGGCTGATAAAAATGTCAAGAATGTAATTGTTTAAAATAACACACCAGAAAATAAAAGAGACATCTGTATAGGAACATTACAGATACCACTCTTTTTAATTTCTTCAGCCGCTGCATGTGCAGCAGCCTCTGCTTTCTTATTACGTTTATGTTTGGAAGGTGAATCTAGTTGTGTATGGTGTAGTGCTGATCCTGAAATAAATATTATATTAATTAATTACTCCTTTACCTACCCGCAGGAAAGTTGTCTGAACAAGTTCCTAAGGTGTGTACCCCGGAACAAAAGTTTGCAGAACACTGAAAAACGATATACTTGTCCACTTATTACCCCAATTCTTCATACAAAACAAACCAATTGTTGACGTACGGATTGATGGACAGGGGCAACTATATAATACACCTATACTGAAATAAATCCCTAATAATTTACACAAGACTAATGTCACCTATAGATGGAAATTGTTGTTTGATTTCAGGGACTATGCTGTAACCAAGTAAGATCAGAATTCTATATCTATATAAAATACTGATATATTAAAGGCAAAATAAGTCAGAAGATAAAATTAACATTATTCAAAACCCATATCATGCTTCAAGGCTTAGTTTAAATCATTTTGTCAAACATCTATGTCCACAGATTACTGAACCTACACATTTCTATCTATAATTTTCTTATATTAATATTTTTTATCCTTTATCTAATACAAAGGTTTTCCCTGGTCAGTATTGCTGGACAGAATGTCTGACAAGGAAACAGCTTCTAGCAATAAAGGTCCACCTGTACACACATTGCCTTGTATGTAAAAGAACACTTGGCAGTTCAATTCATTTCATTTCTAATGTTATGTTGAATATATTTATCATAAACCTCACCATTAGAATCTCTTGATGGTAGAGCTCTTCTAGTTGCATTAGATGAAGACCGTTCACCACCACCACGACCTCGACTAATATTAGACGTTTGAGATGCAGTCCCAGCTTTTACATTTACAGGAAGTTGATGTTGACTTGATTTCTGAGATCTCTGTTCTCTTCCAGTAGTAGACATATTTGTCATAGCACCAGCTAGGTGACCAAGGCGGCTGAATGTCCTGAGGAGATATAAATCAATAAATTTAACATGAATAATTTTTATCAATGACAACAAAAATCTTTTTTTTGTACAAATGTAAAACTGCAAGTCAAGGTATCATTTAGTTGCATTGTTTTAGCAGGAGTTTCTGTATTTAATGTTTAGTTTCGCAACAGGTTTGAACAGTTTTCCAACAATGGTTTGAAACTAAACATTAAGTACGGAAACAACACAGCTAAATGATACCCATGTTGTAGTGATATTCTTTCTATAAATATATTATTCAGTAAGTTCATAGAGCAGTCAATTAATTTTAAACCCAAAACGCTGATTATCTTTTGGTTGTATTTACATCATATTACACCTACAGACAACTAGAATATTGGTTTTTCATGAAGCCTTAAAGCTGAACTCTGGTTACAAAAATATCGAAATAATTAAATAAAAAAAAGTTAACACCCCCAAGATGCCATAATTGGAGGTCATAAGCCTCCATGTCCGCCATATTTATTTCACAAATTGGAAACAAGTATGACGGCTTGGGGGCGTTAACTTTTTTTATTTAATTATTTCGGTATTTTTGTAACCGGAGTTCAGCTTTAACTATCAGAGTCTTAACAACAGATATATAATCAATTACTGCTAATACTAGGTACAACAGTCAATAAAAGGGTTTTATCATCAACAAAACTAAAAGCTACAAACATTTTCTATTTTTAAATTAATAATAATAATTTCAAAAACTTTGTAACACAGTGATCATTTTACTAAAGTTTAAAGGGACTATCCCGATTTGAACAGAGTCTCAAAAATAAAAGTCTGAGTAGTGAGTACGTATGAAATTTAAACGCCAAAATATAGAGGAATGGTGTATTTACCTTGTCTCAAACTTTCAGCTCAAAATATTGAGTCGTTTGGACGTGAATGTCAATACTGCTTATCCGGACACGTAACCCTTTTAAGATTTCGGGTTAAATTTTTCATTGAGTGACCTGATAATCGATTCACGTTCCTTTAGAGGTCTTTACAATGAATAACCCATGTGCTGTACTTGATAACGAAAGGTAAATTTCACCTACACATTATTTTTATAAAATAAAAGTCTGGTTTTATCCAGACACTGCATTATACAGGGTGGGACACCGTTTTCCATTTCCAGATGAAGACTGACGGGTTTAAGTTGTTGCTCGGCCCTAAGGTAGGGGATTTTAAGGGTTTTTAAAACAAAATTGAGCAGTTTTATTCTCCAAAATATTATCCGGATTGACCCTTTAAGTAAAATTTTAATTTGAAAATATATCGTTAATTATATCTGAATCCATGGATTTTCTTTGGAAAATACCTGCTAAATTGGTAAAACAGATATGACCTATATTTCTTAATCAACAGTTAATCCGTTTACTGAGACAATAACAAAATTAACAAAAATAGAAATCAACCAACTTAAATAACAAATATCTAAAACATGGTCAAGAAAAACATATCTTCAAAAGCTGACAAGATTACTAAAATATTGGTAACTGAAATCAATCATTATTGACTAAGTTAAATCATGCATGTAATGTTTAACTATATTCATTCAATGGTATGCCTACCATTTTTTCTTACGTATTTGTCTGAAATTTTAAAGAAATAATTTATACACAAACATTAAAATATTCAACAGATCTCTAATTACAGATACATTATGTAAGATTTAGATAAAGAGCTAGCCATTCTTGCTATAATAGTTCGAAAATAGATAATGTAAAATGAATAATTTGAAAATTTCATTCAATTTACTCTATTGTGATCGAAGATATTAGCCTTTCAAGGTTTGACAAGACGTGTGCAATAATTTCAACCACCGTACTGGTTGTTCGAAGCTAAGTCTCGCTCCTCCATTTCTAGCTTAAATCAAAATATGGCTGAACTGTTTTAATCTATTTAATATCGAAGAGATCTGATGCCATCGACAGTTGATTATGGCCTGGATAAGTTAATTAATGTCTAATTAATAATTTAGAAAATATTTCAGGCCTAAAGAAAGACCCGCAATAGGCAGATTTAGCTCTTGCATAATGTATGTTTAAGTAATAGTATAATTTCAATCAAGTCAAAATGATATTAAATGGTGCTGATATCTTGTAGAAAATGTAATTTGGTTCTTGTAACACCACGGCAGCAACTGAATATCGACTGGATCATTTATGTACCTAGAAAATCTGAATAACAAGACACACTTTCTTTGCTTCTCCTGTGGGTTTTATACAAGCCACTAGCTGAACATGGGATATTCTATATTTTTCACTGACTTACTATTTTTTAATCATACAAAGTTTTTACTGCAAGTACCAGGTACATTTTTACTTTATAATCAATCTACCAATAACATACAGGTCAGATGATAACTTTTGTTGTTAGAGCATTCACAAGGTTCAACAAAGTGAGACAAGGGGCATAACTCTAGATTTAATTAACGGAAATTGGTGAAATTCAATAGGCTTCTTCATTTCACTAATCCAAATGATGCATATATAAATTTCATACAGATTGGATCATAGCTTTTGTTGTTAGAGCATTCACAAGGCTCAACAAAGTTAAACAAGGGCCCTAACTCTAGAAGCAATTAAAGGAAATTGCTAAAATTCAATCGGCTTCTTTGTTTCACTAATTCAAATGATGCATATAAATTCCATACAAATCAAATGATAATATTTGACATTAAGAGCGTTCATAAGGTTAAAAAAAAATGAACCAAGGGCAATAACTCTAGACGTAATTAATGGAAATTAATGAAATTCAATAGGCTTCTTCGTTTCACTAATTTAAATGATGCCTATAGGTTTCATATAGCTCGGCTAATAATTCAGAAGGGCCATGACTCCAGAAGAAATTAACGGAAAATATTGAAATTCAATAGTCTTCTTCATCTAACTAATGCAAACAACATATATCAATTACAAAACAATTAGATGATAAATGTAGTCTGTAGAGTGTCACAAGAAACTGTATATGATGGCAATATACGACCACATTTCCATGTGGGCGTATAAAACAACGAAATTGAAAGACAGAGAACACAAATTACCTTCCATCTTGTGGCTGTGTATCTGTTGGGACAGCAACAAGAGAATGCGGGGTTGGTGAAACTCTTTCACTGTCTTGTGGGGTGGGGATTAGGCTTTGAGGGCTGGGTAGTTTGTCACTTTGAATAGCTATACTATTTTCAGGTGAAGGTCTATCAGTTTGATCAAAATCTTCTTGCATTTCCTCATCAGGTACAGTTGAAACAGCACCTGAATAAAACCAGAGAAAATGTTATAAAATTATTTCTTTCGTTGGTGCTTATAAGTACATCAAATGATATATAAACTTTGTTGGTGCTTATAAGTACATAAAATGATATATAAACTTTGTTCTTAAAGAACACAATATGAACCTATGACAATGGAGAGAGAGGGGTTTAACATCCACTCAACACAAACTAGGTAATTTTGGAACTTACATATGGTTTAATTTTATTTCCATATTTCACTTGTGTGTGGAGGTCTTTGGCTGTGGGAGGAAACCGGAGGACCTGGAGAAAACTTACGAGGTTGGACAGACGACCCTACTCCCTGTCATCTTGAAGCAAAGAATCGAAACCATGCCACTTGACTCAATGACAGACCTTACGATCTAACACACACGCTTTAAACCCTTTGGCAACCCAACCCCCTATATATGATTGAAGTCAGATTGAGTATATGCGCTATATGATTTATACACAAATCTGAATATCATCCAATACATGACCATTTACATGTCACGCTTAAAATATCCATGTACGATGAAATATTAAGAATTATTGACACACCTTCATTTAAATATCTACGCTTGATACTAGTTTCTGACTTTGCGTAGGTAACTGTTGTTGGTAGTGGACGGATGGCTGGACCTTTCTTTGGTTGTAGTCGAGTATAACTACGACACTGTTTCATTACAGTTGGTTTAACACCACCTACATCATCAGCATCTTCACCTTAAATATACATGAAAATGATCCTGGCATTTAACAAAACAACACAGTTATATGGGACAACATGGATTGATTTTTGAGCAGCACAAAATCATTAATTATTTAAAGACAAATTTGTAACTCATATTTATTCATTGTGTGAAATTCAACAACCAGGAACTGAATGTCGCCAATGTAAACATTCATAGTACCGTAGATTCGCGGCAAGACTGACCACAATTGTCATTTTGGTAACCCTATTTGTGGATGTGACGAGACTGACAACCTTTTCTCAGGAAATTTTACGGCAATGACAACAATGTGTTAAATACGTTTGTTAAAGTAGCTAAGTCTCTAACTCAATATCATCCAAAATCTTCAACATTGAAAACACGATTTATTTGCCAAATTAAATCAACATTCATGTTGTGATCTTGCCGGAAAAAGATGGGCTTTTGATATCCAATATTTAAGACAAAATAAACATTTTACCATTGGTACACGAATCGTGTACCATAATGCGCTTCAGCCCCAGTTGAATCAAGAAACTCAAGGGACAAGGCTAGACACATTGCACCAAATCAAACGGCGTATGTAGACTGGAATAACCAGACGCTAGAAATTTGCACTCGCTTGAGACTGCTGGCTTATTTCACCAAACATAACTGATTTGAAATTGGAGTAAAAACGGAAACCATTGAATGTAAACCAGTTTATATACATTCATATTACAGTATTATATGCGTTGCGACCCACTTTTGTCAATTTCTAGGTACCAAATGTTAGCGATTTAGCTCCTTTAATTTTACAGATTTTTTTTCAAATAGAAATGTTAAAATATTTCAATTCTCCTTAACATTTAGAAGAGAGCGTTCTGAATAGTCCTGATAAAATTGACAAGAAGAGGATTATTTGCACACTTTTATTTTTCTAACATCAATAGCTTGGACAACAATCACTGGTATATTATACAGAGACACAATGTTTCGATATATATTCTCTTATCGTTATCAAGCACAAATGGCATTGCATTGTTGAATAAGTTACAATAGAAAATGAAAGATGAGCTTTTGTCAATCATATTTACCTGGTTTAGGCTGAGGAAGACGGAAAGCTTTAGGTCGGTCAAATCTAGCTCGAGTTGAAACTTTATCTTTTGTGTCCCAAACACGAAGCTCCAGTGTGTGGGTAAATAACTTTAACAATAATTCTTTTGTCATTGTGATAGTGTGACTGAAAGAAAAATTACATACCGATACCACTATTGACAAACATTTAATTCAAATTTTTAACACATGCAAACAATTCATTTTCCAGGGTGTTTTTTGGTATTCCTTTGAGTGTAATGAAGTCATCCATAAATAGGTTCTCAGCAATCAAATAAACAAATCTTCAAGACATGTACATTATTATGCAAAGCTTATCGGATATCAATATGTGATAGTTCATATGTATAGGCAGAACAATTATTCATACATTTAGTTCATATGCTATTTCAGTATATTTTATATCAAGAATACCTATTTGCCCATGCTACCCAAGTGATCATGCCTTCCTGCCATGTTTTAATAACCCTCGGATCTTGACGCTCCATATACAGTTTAGCAGCCACACCATAAGTGACACAATCTGTCTTCATTAACTCCTCTTCATCAGGAACTAGATAATACTCTAAATGGTAATAACTCTGAGCACGGGGAGCTTCAAATACACGTCTCTTTTTCTTCATCAAATCTCGAACCTCTTGACTCAATTCTTCTTCAGCTATAAACATAATGTAAACAATAAACCTCCTAACCTAACACAGATTTCTTTTAAAAATTAAAGAAGCATTACGTAAGATTTAGACAAAGAGTTAGCCATTCTTGCTATAATAGCTCAAAACTAGATAGTGCAAATGAATATATTGAAAATTTCATACGAATTACTTTATTCTGAGCGAAGATATTAACCTTTGAAGATCTGACAAGCTGTGTGCATTGATTACAACAACCATACTGATTGTTCGGAACTTAACCTAGCTTCTCCATTTTTAAATTAAATCATTAAATGGACGAACTTTTCTAATCTACTTCAGATAGTTGCCAGGCAACGAAACATATACCCACAGCAGCTAAGTCGTCCGGGTGCGGTGGTCAACAAAGGTTGTCACATATTTTTTCTGTTGTCAGTAATGAGAACATTTACAACACATGAAACTCTGATTACGAGTAATAACTCATTAAGTAATTCGGAAATCATTAGAGTTTGTTTCGATTGCTTGTCTCGTGACCTTAAACAATTTATATTAATGTTTGCCTCTAGAGTGTCCACAAGATTTTTCAAAGTAATAATCGGAAATCTTTGAAAATGAATATGATTCTTCCTCTCATAAACTTAAACTCTGTGTTTGTATAAATTGAAAGTTAATGGGATATTAATGTAGCCTCTATAGAGCTTCTACAAGATTTTTCAAAGAGGTCAAGGGCAATAACTCTGGCAGTAATTATCGAAAAATGCTGAAAATATCTAAAATCCTTTATCTCATGACCTTAAACACTATGTATAAATTTAAAGTCAATCGGATATTAACTTTAGTCTCTAGAGCGTCCACAAGATATTTCAAAGAGATCAAGGGCCATAACTCTGGCAGTAATTATCGGAAATCTTTGAAAATGACTAGATTTTTTTCGTCTCAAGACCTTAAATACTGTGTATAAGTCAATCAGATGTTAACTTTAGCCTCTAGAGGTTCTAAAGATATTTCAAGAAGTCAAGGTCCATAACTCTGGCAGTAATAATTGGAAATAAATGAAAATCAATAGGCTTCTTTGTTTCATGTATATAATTTTAAAGTCGATCTGATATTAACTTTAGCCTTTAGAGTGCCGACAAGATATTTCAAAGTGATCAAGGGTCATAACTCTGGCAGTAATTATCGGAAATCATTGAAAATTACCATACGTCTTATGGCCTTAAAACACTGTGTATAAATTTAAAGTCAATCAGATATTAACTTTACCCTCCAGAGCGTTAACAAGATATTTCAACGTGATCAATCGGATATTTACTTTCTCCTAAACCCAAAAACATTGGGTTTCAGAGAATGCAATACAAATACTGAAATACTGTGTAAGTTTATTTTAAAAAATTAGGCACATACAAAATACAAACAATTGCATTAAAATTAGAAAACGTGCAAAATAATTCAACAAGTGATATTCAATTAGATTGTGTCATTCATTTCAGTCTCAAATATCCACTGTATTGGGGGTTGATTCACCTATAAAAAGTCATGATTCAGTCCTGTTTTAAAAGAAGTTAGGTCCATATGGTAGTACATGTACATGCACTTTATCAAATTGATTGATCCTCATTGTGCAATTTTAGGACATTTTATTAAAGGGGCATTATGAAAGATTTAGATAAAGAGCTGGCCGTTTTCGCTATAATATTTCAAAAATATATAATGCAAAATGAGTATATTGAAAATTTCATTCAAATTACTTTATTTTTTGCAAAGTTATCAAAAGTTGTAGTTTTGACAAGATGTGTGCACTGATCCTAACTACCGTACTGGTCTTTTGAGTCTAAGCCTCGTTTCTCCATTTTTAAATTAAATCATTAAATGGTCAAACTGTCCTAATTTATTTAAATTCGGAGGCATCCGATGTCATCAAGAGTTGATTATGGTCTTGTCATGTTAATAAATGTCTAATTAATAATTTATATAACATTTAAGGCTCAAAGAAAGACCTGCAATGGGCAGATTTAGCCCTTACACACTGACTGTTTAAGAAAAACATCCCTAATTTATATCAAAAGAGTGGATACAGTTGAATTAACAAGAGACACATCAAAAGATTTTATCCAGGTGACACCTGCTTGTTTATATTGCCTACAAGATGCAAACATGTTCAATCCATATCTTTGTAAATAATGAATGGAATTGAACCATATTTTGAGGTTTTACAATATTGTAGTTGGCTTGGCAGGGGAGTCAGTGGCTTTAAACACTAGTTTTGAAAAAACGAACAATGTCAACTGGTGAATAAAAAAAGTGCATTAAAACATAACAAAAATGATTTAGTGATTACTGTTACCTGGACTTGAATGATTGTCAAGATCATGATCTTTGACAACCGCTAAAATTAATTGTTAAAATTAATTAAAAAGAAAATATTATCTACCTAATGTTGAATACAGTAAGTGAATGATAATTCTAACAGTACATTAAAATCATTAACTTTAAATCTAAGAATGACAATTCAGAACCAATGCATCTATGATTATATATTTTTTAGTTTTGACATACAAAGCAATACAAACCAGAAGGTATAGCCATTGCTATGGTAACTACAAATGTCACATCATAAGCATCAAGATCAGTTGGGGCTTTCTTCTTTTTTCGTTTAGCTTCAAACATGAGATCTCCACTACTTGTAGACTTCGGTCGACCACTAATGCCACTCTCCTGTGTTTTAACACTTTCAGGTCGCTTATCTTCTGCTTTCTGTGAGTCTGATGGTGTTGTCGGGGCCTGTTCTATTTTTTCACTTGATTCTGAATCATTAGATATTTTGAAATCTGAGTTTATTGTATCTTCATTGCTGATTGGTTGTTCCATGCTGCTGGTGGATTCCGATTGGTTCATCTCTACAGTATCCTCCATCATTAATCTCTAGTAAATCTAATAAATGAAGAAAATATAAATATGAATCTTTCAGTACAGTCTATAAATCATAGAGTTTTCTGTATTTTGAGCGCGTCCACAAGAGCACCATGCAGAAGGTGCCAAGACTTCAATCACAGATTTTGACCAAATTTTGCTTATAACTATAAGTTGGGATATCCAAAACTCATAAATGTGCAATATCAAATAATTCTTTCAATTTCTGGCTGAGGAAATTGAAAAAAACATTTTTCTTTTGGTGAAATTGCAAAATCTGTTTGTAGATGACCTTATAGTTATACTGTTACCACAAAATTAATTTTAGATAATTCTGGAGAACAAGATCTGTATACAGAAAATTTATGCTCATGTGAACAAGCGACTTCCCAAGCTTTGATACAGAAAATAAAAATGATCGGAATTGACTTGACAAAACCTGGGTAAAGGAAACATTAACCCATGAAATTAACCCGTAATTCAGCTATTTTGGAGATAATTAACAGTACCGTAGTCGATAAAAAAAAAAACTATCAATTTTTTTTTCTTTTCATAGATATGGTGTTTACTACCAGCCCTAAAATATATTAGTATCTGTTTTATAAAAATGTCTGGAAAAAGCCTGTAATAAATAGTTCATGCACCTGGCGCCGACAGGAATTAGCTTCCACAATTGTCCACAAGCTTCCATTGGATTATCAATGTGCTCAATGAGATGTTCTTAACAAAATATATCCATTACTCTCAACTAGACATTATTTTAAATAAAATAATTCAAACAAAATTGAAAAATTCACTTAAAAGTGAGATTCGAACCACCAACCGCATGACTGACGGTTAAATTGTCATACTTTCGTAGATGAAAGTCTGATGCTTTTGATTATTTGTAATGAAATATACTAAAATGTTTGAACAAACCATTTGTTTAGATTAATATAATTTAATATTAAATTACACACCAGAGAACCAAAACAACAAGTGATATTCATAGCAATACAAACAAGTTGCATATATACACTGTAGCGATATGGCAACAGCAACTAACTAAACGCAGCTTTCAGAAAATCAGTCAGCATGAAGCTAAGAAAATTCTAAACGTATTGGCTAATTTACAGGATATATTCATTGACATTTGAAACTGTCTGGCTGAAGCCTGGGATCACAAGATCTGGGCGGGGGTCCTCAGGTGTATAATATTTTTGACACCATCATAATAAAGCCTGTATTACACGCACTTGGTCTTAAAAGGCGTCATGATCCTCGGCTTGCTCAATTGTTTTTAAAACATACTTTCATCGTTAGGGCCTGGGAGAGGGGGGCCAGCTGGGACACATGTCTAGGGGTCTGAAGTCTAGAGGGGTCCGGAGGTGTGCCGCATAATGTTTTTACTGTTACTTGATTGTAAAGTAGAAGACTATCATCAGTGACTTTTCTGAATGTGGGTAGGGTTAGAATTGGATTCTGTCAGTCCACTTTTATGAAAAAACTGGAGAATTAAAACTATAAACCACCTGCTGGGGCCTACTTCCCATGGGGGGGGGGGGGGGCTCAGTCCGTCCTCGTTCCACTTGAGGCTTCTGCCACAACCAGAGTATCCAGGCCACCCTTCCGTTTGAATCCAGTTCAACATGATTTGGGTTACGGTATTAAAATAATAAACGAATAGTTTATTAGTTATGGTCACAGGTTTTGTTTTTCCATTTGTTGCTTGCTTAAAATTTCCTGTCAAAATAGTGTATACACCCATTATCGGATTATTTCTACATGAGTAAAACTAAAACGTGTAATATGTATTTGGTAAGTCATAATGTTGTGTTAAATATCCGTTTATTTGTTTTAGCAAAATGACCTCCTGTTACCCCAGACATATGACCCAAAAGACCATGTATCTTTCACAAATTTTAGAGCACGGGGGGAGAGAACCCCTGACTCACACACTCAAGAGTTGCTTGTCACAGGGACCCAAGGTCGATGTCGGGGGCCCTGTTCATTTTCATCTCTTATTCTAAATCCGGCCCTGGAGGTGCAGCTGACGGCACTCGAGAGCCGTAGCCACCATGCTACACTGTTCAACGTCACCCACTTCGATGCATGGCTGCGTTAAAATTTAAGCTTCCACATTTCTGTATTGTAGAAATCAGTGGATGTGTCCCAAAATGAATAGTGGAAATATGCTCTAAAACTGAGCATTTTGTAGCCATTTTCGGTGACCTGTTGGAAAATGAAACCTTAATAAAGGGACAATACAACTTAAAGGGACAATACGACAAATACCAAATATACAATAAATACAAATATATAAGCTTACACTCATACAGTATGACATTGGACAATTGACAGCTCTATCGATATGATGAAAATTAAATTTGAAAAAATTGTAGGCCTATCAGAAAGCTTATTTTGAGCACTTTTCAATAAGCTCTATATTTTAAGTAGGTTGCATTCCTGACAATATTTTTTACTCCGATTGATACTATGTGCTTAGCACTTCAAAACCATCCGAAAATTTTTTACATGTGACCATGAAAGAAAAAGTTACAGTGTATCTTTTTTTGTAGGCCTACTATAGGATATGACAATACAACTTAAAGGGACAATACGACAAATACCAAATATACAATAAATACAAATATATAAGCTTACACTCATACAGTATGACATTGGACAATTGACAGCTCTATCGATATGATGAAAATTAAATTTGAAAAAAATGTAGGCCTATCACAAAGCTTATTTTGAGCACTTTTCAATAAGCTGTATATTTTAAGTAGGTTGCATTCCTGACAATATTTTTTACTCCGATTGATACTATGTGCTTAGCACTTCAAAACCATCCGAAAATTTTTTACATGTGACCATGAAAGAAAAAGTTACAGTGTATCTTTTTCTGTAGGCCTACTATAGGATATGAATATGGTACCCTAAAACAAGTCCACAAAAAATTTGTACGGTATATATGGACTGATTTTTTTTTTCAAATTAGTGCTGGGGTGTAAGTTGACCACCCGCTTTATCAGACAGGGTCAAAATTTGAGGGCAATAATACTAATAGGCAAATTTAGTTCATTAAATTAATGATTATGGCTATATGATATATATGTATATGGTTCTATTTATATTTTAATTTAGTAATAGTTCCAGTGGAAATAAAAAAAAAAATACTTTGATTGAATAGGACAAATCAGTTTACTTCTACAAAAATAATTAATGTCATAAACATGACTATCAAAACAAGTATACGCTTTGTTTTGATATCGAAAATAATCAACTACCGGTTAAATTACTATTGAAAAATAATGTATTTATATTTTGTGCTTTATTATTATATACATAGTCTCGATTTTTATGCCATATAATTTTGACAATTATTTAGCTTGGCCTAGCATAATCTATTTCTATATAATAATAATATTTTTAAAAATCTGTTATACCACACTATATGGTTTCAAAATGAACCAATGTACAGTAATATACTGCAATACCGTTATTTACTGCATGTCCCGCTCCTGTTATATTATTCCACTTCAATTTCCATATTTTTCAAGATCAACAAAACTTTTTTTTAACGACTGACTCATCACTACCCTGGCGACAAATATAAGTCCGATAAAAGTGCAGTTCTGTTAAAAGCATTTCTTCAACGCAATTTTAACTAGCATTTTGTGTTTTAAAAACAGCTGATTTAAATTGTTATTATTCCGTAAAAAGAAATTAGATCAATTCCAGGAAAAGAATTGCATTCATACAAATGTCACTTACCATCGCGAATGAATATGAAGTCCGATCAGTAACCATAATAAACTATTGCTAGTCCCGCTTGTCACACAAGACACCTGGTTGACACAAGGGAGGTAACCACAAAAAAGAGAGAAAAATAGGATGAAGACCTATTTTGGCATGAACTTCTATAGTCATTTTGTTATTAATGTAAAATAAAAATAGATCATCACTCCAAATTATGGGCTTTAGGTCTACTGGGCTAGATAGTTCTGAGTTCTTCATATGCAGTAATGTTTGATGAATCAAAACCAAGATCTGCATTAAATATGTCCCTTAAATTAAAACAACAAATAATTTAACATATGCAATACACATTTCCATATTTGTTTTTCAACAATTTAAAAAAAAAAACAACCTCGAAACAAATCAGAATACTAGGCCTAATTCTTGTCTATAATTTCCCCGTTCAAGCAATATAACAATACTAATATCTTCATTTATAAAGAATGTTTATATTGAGAGAGAGAGAGAGAGACAGAGAGAGAGAGAGAGAGAGAGAGAGAGAGAGAGATGGGTTTAACTCCACTTTGGGACTAACACATGGTGTTCTATTTTATTTCAATAATTCGCAGAGGGAGGAAACCGGAGGACCCGGGGGAAAACCCATGAGGTTGGACAGGCGACCCTACTCCTTGTCCGATACAACATACAACCAGAATCAAAACCACTCCACACAAACTAGGTCATTTCGGGAGTAATATATGGTTCAGTTTTATTTAAATAATTCACATGTGCGTACAGGTCTTTAGCAGTGGAAGGAAACCGGAGGACCTCGAGAAAACCCACGGGGTTGGACATGCAACCCTACACCTTTTTCGATTTTAATAATAATTCTACTGACATAGAGTCAATAGCAATAATGTCATCCCACTCAAGTTTTCCAGATTAAAGATCACATAAATTAACCATACACCAAAATCAACAGAAATTTAACCAAACTGTCTGTACAACTTACGAGGACTATAGTTTGAGTGGGTTGGCAGACTTTTAGATATTACTGCATCCTAGAGTCATTTTCTAGTATTTCTGTGGGAATATACCTGCTATACTGTTTGAAAAGTGAGAAAACAGGTTGGAAATTATTAGGGGAGGTAATTACTGCCATTTGCAAACTTTCAATATTGTGAGGTAGTGAATCTAAAGGTGTCAAGTAATCAGCGATGAATGAGGTGAGTACATACAGGATGTTACGGTCTGACATACGACAATATCAAAAAGGAACTAAGATCTTTGGGATATAAACATATAGTTTAAGTTTCATCAACATCAGATAAAAAAACATGATCTCTTGAGGGCCCACAACCTAAAAATGCAATTTTTAGTACAATCTGGGGTCATAATCCATGACGTTACAGCCATATATGTTGGAATATCGAAAAGAACAACGATCTTTGGGATATAAACTTTTAAGTTTCATCAAATTCGGATAACAATTGTGACCTCTAGAGGGGCAGCTAATAAAATTCCTATTCATTTGTCATCATAATCATTATGCATAAACTGCTGGGCAAAAGGCTTCTTTATATACTGTATGTATTTAAAGTTGCAAATGGTTATGAGCACATGTATTCCAATGTTTAATTGTATTTTTTTTTCAATTTGCCAGACAGTTGGTGTACCACAGGTTTTCATAGTAAGTAATTTGTGTCATTCATTATATTTTTCTTGTAGACAGAAACCTACCTTAAAAACATACAACTGTAGCCCACCTGTCTGTAGTATGTTTTATGGCCAAAAAAAAAATTAGAATGCATCCTTATTTGTTTCAGGCAAATGATTTCAATCCTATTGGTTTACATCCGAAAATTAGATTATTTTTTCTTCATTTTTAAAAACAATTCTGAGAAGAAAATCCCAACTTGATTTCTTTATTATTATAAATATGATTATGATGGATGATTATGTATTTACTTTTAAGGTATTTATTTCATATTACCAACTTATTCATTTAAACTGTCAGTCACTGTTTGAAGGTCGACACTGATCATTTGTTTTGTATTATTAAATGTTGACCCATCAACATTAATGTTTTTTTCATTGTCACTATTTTCAAATGATTCCTTTTTCAGAACATTATTGGATATAGAAATAGTTTTGGATTCAGTACTTTCATTTTCTCCTTCACTTGCATCATCTGTCTGTGTGCTTTCTTCAGTGGAATCTGTGTAGCTGCTACCAGTACTGTCTTCATCACTGCTCTCTGTACTCTCATCATCACTATCAGCAACAGTTAATTTCTCTAAATGATTTGAAACATCTTCTTCCATGGCCACTTTTGCCGCGGCCTCTAATTCCTCTAAGTTCAATTTAACTTCTATTTTCTGCATGTTTAAGTCTTTGAGAGCTTTAGCTAATGATTTTAATTTTTCATCACTAGCTGACTGAAGCCAGACACAATAGTCAGTAATATAGATATCATTTAAGATATATCTTGAATCACAATCATGAAACAATTGATGAATTTCTAATAAACATTTTAATATCTGTCTTTTGCCAAGTTCAAATAGTTTTTGTGTATCTTCCAAAACTTTGATTGCAAGTTGCCAGTGCCGGTGCAGTGGAAAACACAAGCTTCGTCTAATGTTTGTGATTATTACATCTCTAGGATTTGTGTCCACTGCAAACCAGGATAGAGTAGAGCTTAATTTACAGATATTCCATCCTGATTCTACATTATCATCCCCTTCTGTTATTCTATGATTATAACAATAGGAATAAATTAGATCAACAAGACTAAGATATACTGATGGTAAAACATCTTTATCAATAACATATTCCTTTTTTGGTAAATTTCGCATTCTCTCCTTTTGATCATCATTAAAACAAATAACGTCTTCATGATCTACTTTCACATTATCAGACCGATTCCAATCAGCTTGATAATTCAATATAGTTTTTATGACATCATCTTGATATAAATCCGCTAAATAATGATCATCATCAAATTTATTATCTTCTACATCCTGTCTTTGTTTAAGGCGATCAGCTGGAGATAAGTTATCGGGATCATTTACATCTACTAGATGTTTAAGTTCATTGGCAAGACGACTAAAAATACCAGATTTCTGGCCAGCAAAACCATATTTATATGAAGTATTAATGATGTTAGGTTCTTCATATGGTTTTTGTTCTATATACCAATCAATCTCATTATCATCTAAAATACAACCTGGTGGACAGTCAGCATCAGATCCTGTCAATAAAACATATTCAGAAGATAAATACATTATAAAAGTTAACTGATGTAAGCGAAGTCACCCAAACTTGCTGTTGTTAATAAAAGGGTTTTCTAGAAAAAAAAGTTTTGAAAATAAATTTCTTTAGGGTGTTACATCCATCAATTAATTTAATGTGCAACTCTATATTTCAATAAAGTTTAACCACTTGCATTGACTAATCAAACATTACCAGCACTTTAAAAAACAAAATTTATCACATTTTGTATTTATATTTACTATAAAATATATAACGGTATGTAATATAAACAGTTTATCAAAAACACATTGAAAAGTTACCCCTGACATAGCCTGATCAAACTGTAAGTATAGATTCTAACTGCTGATTTTGATTTCCAATAAATACATATTCCCACCCCACTCCCACCTTGGTGCCAAGTGGACACCAAGCTGTATTGGCTTATGCTATATGATCCCAGAGTTTCTGAATCCCCCCTTCTGTACATGGTATATTCATAACACCTGACTTCCTCACTAATTTATTAATTTTTAGTGTTTTACAAAATTCTATCTGGATTATCGTCCTTATTACTGTTAAATTTTTTGATGTTCTCACTCATGATGTGATGTCAACCGGCAGTCTATCGGCCTTCATGTAAATCAATATTTTTCTTTTTTCATTTTGGGTAAAGCCTGTAGCACAGCAGTGGATGCTTACAGCTAGACCCTAGATATGTGAGTTTGTTGTTTGTGGTGTCTGTATATTATGTACTGTATATTAGTTTGTGTGTGGTGCGGTCCCCTGCACCTACTGTTATAACATAAATTTATTTCAATGTACCTAATACTTCTATTAAAGGTTCCGTGGCTACTCTATCTCCTTTAGGGGCCAACAATTTTGTTAGCATGTCCAGGCCTTCAAATACTTCTCCCTGTGTCTTTTTAGGTACTTTGATGGTGATATGTCCTGTGAATTATAAAGAAAGTGGTTTATAATTAACTTGAAATCAAGGGCACTTCTTTGTTGACATAAATAACCTGCTTTTGTGACATAAATAACATTGTATAAAATATACTGAAATTTTCCAATCCTGCAACCCTTAGTGAATTATATTTAGGGACTGCACTTTTAACGGTTACACTTTCTGGCATTTTTACATACATTGTAGGCCGTATAGTATCTAGATACGAGAGAAATGAAATGGAATTGGGTTTAACATCCTACTGATCTGCTTCAGCTGGGCTAATAAATAATTCCAACTGTCAGGGGTTCTTTTACGTGCCAATGTGCAGTACACGAGACCTCGGTTCTTTGTCCAAGTCGAACGACTAGACAACTGTCCTTGTCAGGCCCTCACTGCTGACAAGGGGAAACCACGCCAGGAAGTCCTGATAAATTTTCTCAGCCAACACAGGTAGTGAAACCGAGACTTGCAGATTAGTGAGCCAGCGTCTTAATCACTGAGCCACCATGGCTCTCTATCTATACGAGAAACACTTTGAGATAAATTTGATGTCTTTACTTTTAGCAATGATTGGTTCTCTTTAGTTTCACCATGGCAAATCATTCTTTGCAATGGTCCTTGAAAAATGCATTATTCGCCACCTGATTTAAACAAAAAACTTATTGTTCTAGGAAATAGGCCCTATTTACCATCCGGGTAGCTAATTGAAATAAGTGAAATAACCACATCTATTTTATGGCGGTATATTAGATTCAAAATTCTAACATGCTATCGTCTAATTTCTAACTTCCATTCATGTAATTTCTAACTTCTAACTTCCATTCATGTAATTTCTAACTTCCATTCATGTAATTTCTAAATTAAGACAATGTATAATCCAACTTCTTTATTTGTTCAGTGTAAATTTTAATTCTGTTTCATCTTATTTCTATTATTAAGGCGAAAAATGTCTATTTGCTTTACATGTTAAGCATGAACGGCAAACAAATTTAGAATTTTTATACTTCTACCTCGAAACCATCATTATGACGTCGTTTGCTGTCGCTACCTTGTGCTCAATTTGGCGATTGAGCACACGGTAGCGACACCAAACGACGTCATAATGATGGTTTCTAGGTAGAAGTATAAAAATTCTAAATTTGTTTGCCGTTCATGCTTAACATGTAAAGCAACTAGACATTTTTCGCCTTAATAATAGAAATAAGATGAAACAGAATTAAAATTTACATTGAACAAATAAAGAAGTTGGATTATACATTGTCTTAATTTAGAAACTACATGAATGGAAGTTAGAAATTACATGAATGGAAGTTAGAAGTTACATGAATGGGCGCTATTGCACTTTCGTACCTCTACCAGTTTCTGTGGTCGTAGGAACTTGAAATTATTAGAGGATGTTAAGGGGGGCTAGCAATGACCACACACCAAATTTCAGCCGAATCGATCAATAACTTTTTATTTTACCGACCTTTTAATTTCTAACAAGAGAGAACTTTATCTGTTTGACGCCATTTGCTTTGTTTACTATTTAGACTCGAATAACAAGACACTAAGACGGAAACCGACACACTGCACTAGCTGCCTATCTCTGCAGTTCATAAAAATTAATATAATTTTCGTATACTTTAATTTTTGCGCGAAGCCACCATGTTCTATAAAATCCTATTTGGTGTTGATCAGTGGATTGGCCTTTAGGTGTGAATATTGCCGTGACCTTGATTTTGACCTTGAGTCTTAACTTCCCATCCATATCAGGGCCTTTGCGTTTATGATTGCCGTGGCCTTATTTCTTACTGTATTTTCAAAGTTAATGTTCGAGGTGAAAGCAAGAGGTGAAAGCAGAGACGACGTCCTTCGGAAAAGATAATTGGGTCAAAGTTGTAGGTCAAGGTCATGTTACAGAAAACTAAACTCAAACTTTTCAAAGTCATTTTTTGGACATTTGACCTTGACTTACGACCTTGACCCCGAAACCATTTTCGAAGGCTATCACCTTGGCTTGAATCATGGACGTTTACCTTGGTTCTGTCACACACTGCTCGGCCAGAAAAGGGTCAAACGGAGAGGGGCCCGTGTCCGAAAGGAAGTCAATGGGCGTGGTCAATGTGAAAGGTCGTAGTGACCTCCACTAGTCACCGTTAACCATCCGTGACCTTGACCCTGACCTAGAGTCCAAACTTCCCATCCATCTCGGGCCCTTTGCGTTTATGCGTGCCGTGACCTTATGTCTTACTGTATTATCAAAGTTAACGTTCGAGGTGAAAGCAGAGACGGCGTCATTCAGAAAAGATAATTGGGTCAAAGTCGTAGGTCAAGGTCATGTTACAGAAAACTAAACTCAAACTTTTCAAAGTCATTTTTGGGACAGGGCCAGGGTAAACGTCGATGGTTCAAGCCAAGATGATGGGCTTTGAAAATGGTTACGGGTCAAGCTCGTAAGTCAAGGTCAAATGTCCCAAAACTGACCTTGAAAAGTTTGAGTTCAGTTTTCTATAACATGACCTTGACCTTCGACTTTGACCCAATTATCTTTTCTGAGGGACGTTGTCTTTGATTTCACCTCAAGCATTAACTTTGATAATACAGTAAGAAATAGGGTCACGGCAAGCATAAACGAAAAGGGCTAGAGATGGATGGGAAGTTTGGACTCAAGGTCGAAGTCGAGGTCACGGATGGTTAAAGGTGACTAGTAGAGGTCACCACGAACTTTCACATTGACCACGCCCTTGACTTCCTTTCGGGCACGGGCCCCTCTGCGTTTGACCGTTTTCTGACCGAGCAGTGTGCGACAGGACCAAGGTAAACGCCCATGATTCAAGCCAAGTTGATAGCCTTCGAAAATGGTTACGGGGTCAAGGTCGTAAGTCAAGATCAAATGTCCCAAAACTGACTTTGAAAAGTTTGAGTTTACTTTTCTGTAACATGACCTTGACCTACGATTTTGACCTTTTAACTTTTCTGAAGGACGTTGTCTCTGCTTTCACCTCAAGCATTAACTTTGATAATACAGTAAGAAATAGTGTCACGGCAAGCATAAACGAAAAGGGCCCGAGATGGATAGGAAGTTTGGACTCAAGGTCAAAGTCAAGGTCACGGATGGTTAAAGGTGACTAGTGGAGGTCACCACGACCTTTCACATTGACCACGCCCATTGATTTCCTTTCGGACACGGGCCCTTTGCGTTTGACCCTTTTCTGACCGAACAGTGTGCGACAGGACCAAAGTAAACGTCGATGGTTCAAGTCATGGTGATAGCCTTCGAAAATGGTTACGAGGTCAAGGTCGTAAGTGAAGCTCAAATGTCCCAAAACTGACTTTGAAAAGTCCGAGTTTAGTTTTCTGTAAGATGACCTTGACCTACGACTTTGACCCAATTATCTTTTCTGGAGGACGTCGTCTCTGCTTTCACCTCGAACATTAACTTTGATAATACAGTTAGAAATAAGGCCACGGCAAGCATAAACGCAAAGGGCCCGAGATGGATGGGACGTTTGGACTCAAGGTCAGAGTCAAGGTTACGGATGGTTAACGGTGACTAGTGGAGGTCACCACGACCTTTCACATTGACCACGCCCATTGACTTCCTTTCGGACACGGGCCCTCTGCGTTTGACCGTTTTCTGAACGAGCAGTGTGCGATAGGACAAGGTAAACGTTCATGATTCAAGCCAATGTGATAGCCTTCGAAAATGGTTACGGGGTCAAGGTCGTAAGTCAAGGTCAAATGTCCCAAAAATGACTTTGAAAAGTTTGAGTTTAGTTTTCTGTAACATGACCTTGACCTACGACTTTAACCCAATTATCTTTTCTGAAGGACGTCATCTCTGCTTTCACCTCGAACATTAACTTTGATAATACAGTAAGAAATAAGGCCACGGCAAGCATAAACGCAAAGGCCCCGATATGGATGGGAAGTTTGGCCTCAAGGTCAAAATCAAGGTCACGGCAATATTTACACCTAAAGGCCAATCCACTGATCAACACCAAATAGTATTTTATAGAAAATGGTGGCTTCGCGCAAAAATTAAAGTATACGAAAATTATATTAATTTTAATGAACTGCAGTGTTAGGCAGCTAGTGCAGTGTGTCAGTTTCCGTCTAAGTGTCTTGTTATTCGAGTCGGTTTCCGTCTTAGTGTCTTGTTATTCAAGTCTAATTAGTAAACAAAGCAAATGGCGTCAAACGGATGAAGTTCTCTCTCGTTAGAAATTAAAAGGTCGGTAAAATAAAAAGTTATTTATCGATTCGGCTGAAATTTGGTGTGTGGTCATTGCTAGCCCCCCTTAACATCCTCTGAAAATTTCAAGTGCCTACGACCACGGGAACTGGTAGAGGTACGAAAGTGCAATAGCGCCCATGAATGGAGGTTAGAAGTTAGAAATTACATGAATGGAAGTTAGAAATTACATGAATGGAAGTTAGAAATTAGACGATAGCATGTTATAATTTTGAATCTAATATACTGCCATACTATTTCAGTTAAACGAAAGACAGCGAAACTAGCATTTCATTTACAGAATATGGAAGCAGTGTATAAACAAAAAAAGGTTCAGTATTCAACAGTTCTAGAGTTAGGATTTGGTTTAGACATGGACTGCAATTATTATCGGTCAATCGGTGTTTTTATAACTGAGGCATGACAGTTCACAAGCTGTTACGCTGCATTGCTCATGTACCGATCATACACATACTAGCTAATAAGAGTAGTCTACTGCCCTACCTTTATTAGAATCATAAATTGCCGTTTCTCTCCCATCTTCAATTAATTGCCCAGGCAAATTCAGTCGTAAAAAATAGGGTTTAGAAAAAAACTTGAATTCATTATCTTCTATGAATATTTCAGTATCTGAAATCTTTGTATATGGTGCTTTAATGTAGAAAAACAAAAATTCGTTGTCTTGGTGTATTTCAAACGCCGGAGTCAACATGTTATCTGTTTTATTTATCTTCCAAAATATATCACATGTTTACAACCATGGGCGCAGCCATCTTGCTACTTACATTAGATTATCCCCCCTTACGGATGTGATTCGGAAACAGACCACCTAAGTTTTTGCTCTTTTTTGCACTTTGCTCCGAATATTCATTGGATTGAACGCGTTCTATTACACGTTTCAATGTCTTGTCCAAACGTATGCCCGAGGAATAAACTATAACATACGTATTGGGTTAAAAACTCTCCGGTATCATACATTAAAGTTATCAAAAATCATAAAGCTAAAAACAGCACTGTGAGGAACTTTGTTTATTATGGAACATTTGAGGACCTAAACTACCCATTTTGTTTCTACAATATGTTCAAACCACCGTTTATGTGCAAATTTATACATCATGCTTTAACAACAAAAAATTAAACTTAGTTTATAATGATTTCTAATATTTCTATAGTCCAGGCGACACGTGGGCCTATTATAATATGCATTCATATAGTATAACTTTTGTGTATATTTTGCACATACTTTCTTTCCATACTCAATTATTTTATCATAGGTCACGAATATTCACCAAAACCTGGCAGGAAATGTAAATTCAAAACCTTTTCTTCGATTCTCCGAAAAATATATAGTGATATCTTTGATCACGATTGCCGCTAAAACGGAGTAGCCCCCCTTGCAATAGCCTGCGCTGTATCTTTTCTTTTTCAAAAGCAACAACCTGAATCTATAGAGGAACGCCGATTGGCTAAATGTATAAAGCTGTTAGTGATAGGGGTTGTCCTTTACTGTCCATATGGGAAGCTGGTCATTAATAAAACAAAGTATCAGATCACCTTTGGAAATAATATCAGCATAAATTAACATTAATGTGAGGAAATACATATAGAGTTTCACAGGAAGAAACTTTTGTTGTAGGACAGTACTATTGCGGTTCTCCCTGATTTTATATAATAATATATTAGTTAAAAATAAAGAAAAGGGAAACAGGGACCTACACAACCATATATTAAAATTGACAATGCATATAAATTTGTATAATATGTGTTTAAAAGTTTAATATCATGTATGTTGAAATGTTTAAATTGTTCTGTTCTATATGTTGCTGTTGGCTCTACTTTCCTTTTTCAGGTAACTTTTATCCGTTGAGAGTCATCCACAACAAGGAAAACTTTTAATGGACTACTACAGACTATATATGATTTTAAACGTGAAAGTGGTAAATTGTTTAAAAGGACTACTACAGACTATATATGATTTTAAACGTGAAAGTGGTAAATTGTTTAAAAGGACTTGGAAATTATGGGAAATAATCGCACGAACACTATGTTGTTTTTAATGCGAATTTCGCTTTGCCACAAAGCAAGTGGATTCTTTTTCCCCGCGTTTTTTTTTCTTTTCTATCCGGATTGACGATACCAAACGTCAATCAGCTGGACTTCTTGTTTTAACTTGACTTTATTATGACGAAGGGAGAAGCTGACCCGCCCTCTCTTCACACGACAACGAAATTTTTTTAAAGCGACCTATATCTTATATACAAGAACTTATTTTTCTTATGTTGTCATCTTTCTTTTTTTATTACTCATTCATATGTAAATAATTATTTAAATCAATCTGTCTATCATATCGTAATGTATTGGACTTTAAATTTGTAATAAACAACAAACTACCACCTACGAAAAAACAGTACTAGGTTGTCCCGATCTTGTCCCGAAACACCCTTCAGAAGGACCATCCAATTTCTTTCGTTGCATCTTTAAAATCCAATATATTTATTTCTAATGGACATTTTATCTCTAAAAACTTTGAATGCTATTCTTAATAACTGCGACCTATAACATTAATGGTGTTTACAATTCATTAACCAATGACATGACCTGTTAGTCTGCTATGAAAGAAATTTGCCCGGACAGCGTCTGTTCCACCTATACTGTTCGTGGAATTACAACACTCAAGGGTTCTTTCCTGCACCCCAAAGCGTACACGGGATCTCAGCATTTTCGTCCCATCCGAAAGGCAAAATACATCCTTTTACATAAAGCGGTTGCGACCCGTACGAGCACAAATATTTCAATGTTTGTATTTTTTCAACATACGTTAGTAGACGATTTGTGCCATTCATGCGGTGTCGGTGGTCTCGGTTTTCGTCCCACCTGACGCTTTTTTCCCTTGTCATACCTTCCGTCCTGACAAGAGGTACCGGACTGGAAAATTCCGAATAACTTTCTCGGTCAACACCTGGATCAAATCCGGAACCTGGTGGCAAAACGCCGACAGCCGCTAAGCTTCTTCATCTTAATCTTATTATCTTAGTCTCCATTCATGAATATCAGATAGGCGAACCATATAAAGAAGTGGAGTTGAGAGAAAATTAGATTTACCACTATCCAGCTATTATTGTAATATTTCACTAAGTGGCGATTGTTGACATCCAATTGTCGAAATTTCTCTTTCGCTTACACAGAAAATCCGATATCAATTCCGAGATCAACATCATGAGAGGGGGTTTGATATAGGCTCTGCCTGTTCCCCAAGCCCAATTCAGATACAAATCTGAATAAAAAATATTGTTTATAAAAAAAAATCAACATCATCCTATATTAACTGGTGGCTGTATTACTGGTTTCTGAGCACTACCGGGTTTAGTCGCATGGGGGGCCTGGCGCAGTTACCCAGACGTCTGTATACAAGTTTGGAAGCTCTTTAAAATAAAAGAAAAATCGATATTCTAACTTGTTTGGGGCTTTGGCGCAGATGTGCCACGTGCGCCATGGGTAGTCCGCCACTGTTTCTGAGTTTTATACACGAAATAATATAACTAGGCTGAGTTCTTTGTCAACTTAATTCCGCGGGTTATTTTATCAATTCCATCTTAATTTGGTCAATTTTGCTACTTCTTGATTATTTAAGGTAAACAATTCTATTAGAATACCCTTGTAACCCCGTCGTTGTTGTTGTTGCGTATGGTTTTACGTCGATCTCATTATAGTTTTTTATACTAAGGGTGGAAATGGGATAGCCCCAATTCTGAAAACTGCAGCAACAAAGGGGCAGCGGGACAGTAGGAACTTCCTCTTCGATCCCTCAGTGTAGATATAGGGTTAATGCATGTGAGATTTCCGAATTAAGACATACTTGCTATTGATCTCATAAATATATGAAAGATCGATATTTGGTATTATATCATCGTATACCAGTGTGTATTAAGTTAAGATAATCAGTTAGTAATTAATGAGTTGGAGACAATAAGCTAGAGAACAAGTCCCGTCATTAGCGGCCGTTATATAATTCTATTGATTAGTATTAACCTGGTAATCATAATTGTTATTAACCATGTGTTCAGTTTACTCCTCCAATTTCATCTATATGTAAAAGCACAAATTAACCGTTGCTTTGAATAAATCATTATCACATAGGCATACGGTTGTACCATCGCGTGGGGATTACAAAAAGGCTACACATTGAAAATCCGATAAACAGCCGATCAGCAAACAAACCCGGCGAACATTTTGTAAATTAATATGCAATTGTAATCTTACGTTTACATATTTTATCAAAGAGATCGAATTCAGTATACAACAGTTTAGAACTTATACCCTGTTAATGTTAATACCATATTTGTCTACGATATCACCTTAGGTGGAAGTGGACGTAAAACTCTAGAAACGAACGAACTAATACCATACTTAAACAGTTCAAAATATTATTAACTTGATTATGTTGAAGAAAACTTATATGATATTCGGTTCCCCAATAAGTTGATATATCCTATCCAACATAACTTACCTTGCATATTTTGATAATTTGTACAACTAAATCTAAAACGATTGCTTTGTCACTATCGGGATACTGGAACTCTAATAATCCGTGCGTCATCATTAAAGAAGAACTACCAGTTTTCAAAGTGTCTCCGAAAAAAAAATTCTTAAAGCAGGCAATTAAAAGCCAAATTTGAAGAATAGATCCATTTACAGCTTATGTTTAAAATATTGCGTGGGTTGGAAGTTTATTTAGAGGTGTTCAAATCGCCCGTCTCCAATTTTTCAGGGGTTCGAACAAAACGAACCAGAATTTTCAGGGTTCAATTCCGGGCGTGTTCGCAGAAGAATCTGTTCCTGGAATTTTTCAAGTCCGGTTCCCCACTTTTCGGAGGTGACACCTGCGAAGCTGACTAGGAAAGTTTTTCGGATGGGACGAGAAACCGATGTCGCGTGTGTACACAAATCATCAGTTTGCAGATTTATGAAGAGGAGTATAGGCATAAATGCCACTGTCGCCCCCCCACCCACCCCATTCGTATTGTACACATAAACACACGCTTTTAAATTGTGAATTTTGTTAAAAGAAAAAACAACTACAGAAAACAACTTTTTAATCTGGAATCATATACACCTAACAACAAGATGTCTTTTATGAAAATGAAAGTAGACTTAATGAGTTTTGAAATATTCTATACAAAAATGTAAAGGTTTATCATTTAAAACATTCTAAAATAAATAATCTTTAAAAGTCATTGGTTAATACTTATAAAATCATAAACTATAACTACTAAAATCGAATCATTACTAAGTTAAAAATAATGAATCTTGAAACCAATTTCAGTAGAAATCTCATGCATAATTCTATTTTATTATCTATCAGCGGGGACGAACTGAAGGTGAGTTGCGCGAGTTTAAATCAATCTTTCGCGAAACAGGATTTACCATAACAAAAAAAAGGGGAATGCTCCAATACTTTAGCAGACTACTGATATCCGAGTCCGAACTAATTTTTTAATTTAAAAAACCGTAACAATAAATAAAACAGTTTATAAATATACATAGACTCAAACACGGTTTTCAAATGTGGTCGATGGTTAATATACTATATTTTGTAAATTAACTTTTTGCAGAGTTCTGATTTTCGAGTCGGAACTAATTTTTTTTTTTAAACAATAAAAAACTGTTTAAATATACATAGACTCGAATACGGTTTTGAAATGTAGTCGATGGGTAGTATATACTATATTTTTTGTAAATTAAGGTAAGTATATAAGTCTAATTAGCTATATAATATGTACATCACACTGAACAAAAGAAAAACATCACAATATAGCATAAGTCTGTTACCCTGCGACACTTTTATATCACTAATATTCACGACGAACATCTAAAAACAATTTCCACTGTAGAATCATATAAATACTTAAATATTGTTCTAGCACAAAATGTTATCTCGGGCTTCTAACGGGTACCAAACGGCACAGCATGGTATACCGTAAGCAATAATTTCTTGGGAATGGCCCTCGAAATTATTTTTATTCATTTCTTCAATTCGTTAAAATGTGAGGATAAATGTTGTAATTTGGCTTTTAGATTAACTCCGTCATTTCCGTAAAATTCTCCATCAGGTGTACTGGATTGGTTACCGTGATGTGAAGCGTTATTTGTGGTGCTGTCAGCTAGTTGTGCCGAATGTTTTAGAAGCATTGCCTTTTCTTCACTGTAATATTCAGGTTTAATTGGTAGCTTTAGTGGACTGGAATTAACTGACATGTTTCCGTTTAATTCCGATTTTTCCATGAATTCCGGACACTCGTCTCTCGTTCTTCCGTCAGATTTTCTGTTGAGTGTTAAATCTGCTGGAGTATGAACGGGTGTTGTACCTGGATACATAAGTTGATGCTGGTAGCCATAATACTGATACCCCGTTCTAGGATTCGTTTGTCCATCTTCTGCCACGTATCTTTCATAGTTGGAAAACATGGCGTGTTTGTCCATGAATTCTTGAGGTGTGCTAGGGGGATACTTTCCCTCGGCGTTTGGGTACATTTGAGCATTTATATAGGAGGCTTCTGCTGGTAGTTGGCTCCACGAGGCGTATACTTCGTACCCATTGCCACCATTCATATCAGTGCCCTTATGTCTTGAAACACCTTGTTGTCTTCTTATTTCTCCGTTCATTCTATCACCATAAGGACTGACTGATTTAGACATTCCACCAAGAGAATATCTGGCACCTGTAGGTGACATCATACTACTGTCGCTACCGTCTTCACTCTCAGATTTGGCGCCATTGTCTGTCAACTGCCGGTTACTTCGGACATCATGCATGCACTGTGTTCTGTCCTCTTGGGATAAGATGCTTTGTTCCGGTGGAATACCGAATTTGGCTTTCATTAGGCTAATTTCTTTGCGCAATAACGCGTTTTCTTCTTCTAAAAATGACACTTTGTTACGTATGTCTGTTTCTGCTTGACGTTTGCATTCTCTTGATCGTTTAGCGGCCATGTTGTTTCGTTTTCGCTTTTCCCAATATTTGTCGTCCTTATCGTTATCAGGTATGCTTCTCTTGGCTCGTCTTTGGACTATTTTGGGCAAAAACTGACCATCGCAGGATCCCATCCAAGATTGGTCGTGGCCATACATCTGGGGCTCCATTCTGAAAAACATAAAAGAAGGGGTTTGAATGCCGTGAGAACGAGCGTGTGTGATTTAAGGATGTCATCCATTTGAGAATTTAATGACACATGTTATACTGACGTCCTAGACGATAAAGCTGTCGGTGACCGTGGTTTAGCTGGTTTATAAACCTACCAGGCCCCGAGTTCACAAAGCATTCTCAGACTTAAGTTGAGAATTTACTTAAAATTGTTCACCTTATTTTAACTAAAATATAGCCCTTTATAATAATTTTGTTGTTTTAATGTATCAGATATATCAATAAAAAACTATATGCAAAGTTTTGTGTATCTGGATCAAAGATATTTCTCATAAACAGTGATTGAAAGTTGAGCAAATTCTCAACTTAAGTCTGAGAATCCTTTGTGAACTCGGGGCCAGAACTCAGGACGAATGTTCTCAAAATTCAGAAATGTTTGATTTACAACCCTGTTCATGTTTTGACTAATAATGTTCGTGTGGACGTAAGGTTTAGATATCAAAAGTTTTTTGTTTTGTTTTTTTTTGGTTTTTTTTGTTTTGTGGGTTTTTTTTTTGTTGATTGAAATAATGTTACCAGCATTATGGGGACCTACCATCATGTTCCATTTTAGTAATCTGAGCTTATTAAATATACTAAATATGATTTTTACATTTATAAAAGTTCGCAAGACATTGTCGATAGAAAGGGGTTTTATTCTAATTGTTCTTGTGGTTTTTATTTTATTATTTTTTATTTAATTATCTTTTCTTCTTCTTTTTTTTTGGCTTCCAAACAGGTCTCATATCTAATGTTTGTTTCCGATTTTTGTATAGTATGCATTGTTTCAAAAAGAAACGTTTTTGATACATGAGTGATGATGTCTATTATATTTCCGATTTTTGTATAGTATGCATTGTTTCAAAAAGAAACGTTTTTGATACATGAGTGATGATGTCTATTATATTTTGTCATGGCTGTGTCAAGGTATAATAAGATCACATATTAACAGGTCTTGACAACTTCTAAACATTTACACGTAAAAAAATTACTTTAAATTATACATCACGTAGTTAGCGAGTATACTCATATAAAGGCTGTACAGATGACATGGGGTGAAAATTTGAACACGGTTCGCTCATTGAATTAGAGCAATTCCTTTTGGTTTCGTATCAGTGATTTTCGTTTATACTTATATCTTAATTACAAACATCTTAAGGCCATTTGGCACGAATTAGTTTATGATTTACGTGTTGAAGCAGGTCTTGGGTTGGTCTAATTAAGCATGGAATATAAATGAAATGAAACAGAAACAGTGTTAGAGGTGGGGTTACGGGTGGGTCATATTTATTTGCCATTTTAAATCCATAGCTCCCTTTCTAAAGATTTCGCCACGTGCTCTGCTCGATTGTCAACAATCTTTGTATGTTTTCTATCCAGATTTTGATCTCTCTTTTAAACACCGGTATTTAAAAGACAATAATCGAAGCATAGGTTAATCATTTTAACACAACTTTCACAAATCTCTTTTGATTATCACAGACAAATACCAATGATCTGTGGGCGTTAGCTGAACGTAATAGATCATGAACTGCGAAATTATTTTGTTATACATGAAAATAGATCAATTACTGCTGACAAACAACAATATTCATAGCTTTATAAAGGGTAATTTTAGTTTATTTGAACAAATTAGTATTATGTCTATATGTTCAGCTGGGATATTGTCCATATATAACAGAATACAAGTAAATGTTGTTCATACTAATGATAGCGGTATTCTTTATACAATGAGGAATCTTATGTTCGTTTAGAGATAGGAATGGTCTTAGTGCACCACCCTGCTTCACTCATGCATCTCACGAAGTATCTACTCTTCAATTTTCTGGAATAAATTTCATAATTATTTTTGGCAGGGTACAATTAACGTACAAGCTAAAATGGTCGTCTGGTTAGGACACTATAATTCTAACTAAAACGTCTCAAGTTGGAACCTTGGCATGGGTCTAGAACACGTTCGAGGTTTTTAAGTGCATGTAAAAAAACACCTTTTGCAATTCGAAGGAGTGAGGGTAGTAATAATGGCCAAATAGAATTTAAAAAATAGCATATGTTAAATCCATTCAATTCCAATATTTCAAGGTTGTCCAGCTATAGATAGAACATGATACATGTCGGAAGGAAGTTGTACACTAGAGTTTATCTTGGTGACCCCAGCACGCTCCATGCTTTAATCATAATGTAAATAGTGATAAGTAAGTATCTTATACATCTATACAACTGGCCTACACAAAACAAATTCAGACGAATTGTCACCGAAAAATAAACCCAATCACCAACCATGCGTATATCTAAAAGAATAAACCTATTTTCTTTGACGGGTTATTTTTTTATACTGCTAGTGTCATAGGTGTACGCCATTTATCCATATTTTTGTTTCAATGAACGAATTAGTAAGAAAATAAATTTTGAAGGCTCTTAGATGTTTTGGGGGAGTTGGGGGGGGGGGGGGTAGATATATTAAATTTTAGCATATGACACCATTCAAGATATACATCTAAGGGCATTTCGCTCAAAGTCGAAGTCAAATATTGGGCATAAAACACTGATGGTTGCAAATTTCATCGCATATTACATAACATGTAGTTTATTAGATGTCAAATGCGTTGATTGCTTTCGGTTAGTCGGTTATAATCTTTGGTTTTAACTTTAATTGACAATTAATGGTTTTTACTAATTCCTTAGTTTATATTTGTATGTGTGTATACCATTCATTCATTCATTCATTCTTAGAAATCTATGAAAACATTTGAGCGTAAAAACAAAGATGTTTATGATGTCTATAAACGGCAAGCCTAATGGATACACGTCTTTGTATATAGTCACAATAATACCCGAGCAAATAAATTTAAAATTAAAACCTCGTTGTTAAAAGTTTTGATAAGAGTTTTATTAGCTTCGTGTTGAGCCAGTTACTGTTTAATTCAGAAGGATGTGGTTGCGTTCAATTTGTTAAATCGGGGGTGCGTCTCGGGTTCACTTTAGACCGTTAATAATCAAAACGGGTTAATTTAGCAACCGATAAAGTCTTTCAAGTGTTAACTGCAATGAAAATTGTAATTGGTTCCAGGTAGCTGTTAAAATAATATATCTCAGCACGGCTTCCTTCACAAATAAGATTAAGATACAGTTTGTTGGGTGTCTCGCTTCTATAAATTTGATATTTGTTTTCAAATAATTACAAGTCTAACCCTGGAATTAATTCACAAACAATTAAGAACTGCATGATTCAGATTTTCCCCCCAATTGAATAAATGTATTATTTAGTTTCAAAAGAGTACATTTTTAAAACAAGAAATTGATTTTAAAAATGAGATAAACATATTTCATATATAATTATAATACACAAATTTAAAATTATTAACTGTTTTTCTGCTCTATATCCTGATAAATCCTAACACATTTTTGTGTTCTATCTTTGGTATTTGTGGATTAACAACTCCTCCATACAAACTCTAAAGTAGCTGAAGTCCTTTATACATTACTAACAGTCGAAATTAAATAAATTGTTGGTGATGTTCAAATCGACGCTTTAAAGTAAGTGTTCGTCATTTACATTTTGCGGAAAATTTACCACAACTTAATTCACTCTAATATGTTCTCAAATTTAATATGCATTCGGTCGCTGTGACGTCACTAGCGTCTAAGGGGATTAAGAGTATTTTCGATAATTGGCAAAGTCGTTTTCACGGGAGTCTATATTTGCGACTTCGGGTGAAGATGGCTGGTTTAATTTTAATCAGATTGGCGTGAATTTGCCGTAAAGTGCATATAGTAGCCCCTGGCTACAAGTACAGAAATTTTCGTCTAGTGACCTTATGTGCTCTTTAAAGAAAACAAAATGTCAACGGTACATACTCTACTGGCTTGGATTCATTCGCGTTAAAAAGAGGCCCACCAAAAGATGTCAGCGAAACTCGTATATGACTTTGGCTTGTGTGGGCTATTGTTTACAGTGGATGCCGAGTGATGACAAAATTTTCAATTCGTCATCTCTTTAAACATTAAATGGAACTGAACACCTTTGGAGGTGTATTGCTTTTAGACATTCAAATTTCCCAATGTTGCTGTTTTCAGGGGATTAGCAATCCCTCAAATAGTCCTGTATAATTTTGCTTTTTGTCAAGGCTGTCCATTTACAATGCATCTTCCCTTCTGATGTTTTGGTATCGGATGAAACGAAACCTTAACACTTTTAGTCAAAATCCACCTATAACGATAAATATTTAGGATAGAGACTCATTGATAAAGATGATCTCGACAATCCCAATCCCAAGTGACGGGTCAGAAAGGGGACAGACATTCTTAGGGAGGCGCTCCTTATTATAATAAGGTTTATTTGTTGGACCCCGAGGACAGCTTAAGTGCCTTTATTTAATACAGATGTTTCTTTACGAGATTCTTTTAGACAATCCTACAATTTAACCCCAATTCTCACAATAATAAGATAATTAGTACTTAAATACACTTTCCTTGAAATACATATTTGAAACTATTTCCTTGACGTTTTATCTCACAAATATGTAGGTCCAGTTATACAATACTTAATAAATTTTGATAACTTTTTTTAAAAATTACGCGAGCTTCTCCTTTATCTTCACTTATTTTTTGTTCTTTGATTGTGCCATCATTTTCTATTCGAATTACTTTGAATTGACAATCGTTATCAGAATTAAAATATATTTTAATTCAATGAGTAATTTGAAAATGTTTAAAATGCATTTTTAGATTTAACAAGCCAACAGTGAGGCTGATGTCCCCCGCCGAAATTGCAAAATAAATAGATGACACATATTAATTAATCGCACATTTATTTTTTTCACTAAGTTTCATCACTCTCTATCAGATAGAATCAAGATTATCTTGTCCCAAACCATCGACAAATGAAATCGATTAGCTCTGCTTAGCTTCAGCTCGAAATGTTAATTATTGAACTCAGTCAAGACATTCACCTAATGAACATCTACATATACATCAAGTTTAAACATTCACCTAATAGACACCTATGCCAAGTTTGAACATTCTACCTCAATTAGAAGGAGAGTTATTGTGTTCCAAAGTTTCTACCAATCAAATTGCTTATCACTCTGCTTACCCTCAGCAAAAAATGTTCATTATCGAACTTAGTTAAGGTATTCATATAATAAATCTATACACCAAGTTTCATCAATCTCACTTAATTAGAACTAAAGTTATCGTGTCCCAAAGCATCAACCAATCAAATTGCTTATCTCTGCTTACCCTAAGCGGAAAATGCTCATCTTCGAACTCCATCAAGGCATTGACCTAATCAACACATACACCAAGTTTGAACATTCTAGCTCAATTAGGAAGAGAGTTATCGTGCCCCAAAGTATCAACCAATCAAATTGCTTATCTCTGCTTACCCTAAGCGGAAAATGCTCATCTTCGAACTCCATCAAGGCATTGACCTAATAAACACATACACCAAGTTTGAACATTCTAGCTCAATTAAAAGTTATCGTGTCCCAAAGCATCAACCAATCAAATTGCTTATCTCTGCTTACCCTAAGCGGAAAATGCTCATCTTCGAACTCCATCAAGGCATTGACCTAATCAACACATACACCAAGTTTGAACGTTCTAGCCCAATTAGGAAGAGAGTTATCGTGTCCCAAAGCATCAACCAATCAAATTGCTTATCTCTGCTTACCCTAAGCGGAAAATGCTCATCTTCGAACTCCATCAGGGCATTGACCTAATAAACACATACACCAAGTTTGAACATTCTAGCTCAATTAGGAAGAGAGTTATTGTGTCCCAAAAAGTGTGACGGACAGACAGACGGACGGACAGACGGAAAGACAGACGGACAGACAGACAGACAGACAGACGGACGAACCCATTTTAATAGTCCCCTGCTTTCTTCGAAAGGCGGGGGACAAAAATACCCCATAAATTTGAAAGTGCGGATGGTCCGGGAACAAACAACTATCAAACCTTGAAAATTACCACGGATCTTTTATCTTTATTTCACAAAGACTGACGAGAAAATAAATACTATACGAAACGAAATTCAATCCATGGAATATTAAGGAATGTTTTGAGCGGACTCTTCGCTGTTATATCTTGGAGTTTCTCCATTTATTTTGAAGCCTACTTTATAGATATTCAATTCGTACAAATCATCCTTATTTTGTATTTCTGAAAATGTATTTGATATTGAATAATAGTATGTTGAATATCATTATTCCTCCAAACTATCATAGGTTATGAACACTGGTATTCAACATTATACTTCATACAACATGGATTTTCTGAAGAAAATAACATGATGTTTACGTGAATTAAATATCTAGTCACTTAGGTGTGTGCTTCATAATTATGCACGAAAAAACCCAAAAACAAAACATTTGTTTGACTAGAGAATATGAAAAGGTAGTCTATATCTATGCTGGAATTAAGAAATTTATTTATATATCTAATGCAACAATAATCCAACCAACTATCTAAATTCATTTCATGAGTTGATAGAACAAACGTCGATGATTATCACAACTTATAATCAAAATCTCGTCAATTTTTTTTATATAGAGCAACCATTTAAGAGTAACAAGAGGCCAACAATACTGTAACTTGTGTTGAGATAAGTCTAATATCCAAATGTAATGACAATCAAAATAAATATAATATGTCAAGAATTGAGAACTAATTTTCTAACACATCTATTACTAGAAATCTGCACATCGTAATCCATGTTAGCCATAATTAATAATCCAAATTTCACAGTTTATTTTAAGATTTGAAATATCCTTCAAGATATGAAACGTATATCATGAATGTTTACGTGTGAATTCTGAAAATGTTTTTCCCCGGTACTTATAATAGTGTTAGGTGTATGTCAATATGTAATAAAATTATCTCTATATAATAAACATTAGACAATGTAACATACCTATGTAATAAAAATAGAGGCCGTTATTTTCACCATTAAAGTTATATCATATAAATTCTGCAACGTAACAGATGAGATAAGCTCGTTAATAGATTACCAAACCTATTCCATAAACCATATGATGTAAACAATTGTTTATTTATTTTATTACTTGCTCGCTCATTGCGCGAGCAGATCAGACGACTACCTGAATTACGTAATAATTCACGTAACGCTACACGGAAAGGCGAAATTTTGAGATAGTGTGAAACAGTTACGTTAATGTGTAATACAGCAAAACAAACGGTATTACGTAAAGCTCGCGCATAAGACTTTAAGAGGTTATACAAAATAATAGATATTGAATCACCTACCTGATGTCCAGAACACTTGAAGTCCGTGCTGGAGCAGAGTGGTTGAGTAACTGGTCAGTTTTTCTTTTAGCTGAACAAAACTATAAAAAGTCACAGGTGATTGGTCACACGGCCGTTTTAAACCCCGTCTCAGGATTAATACGTAGTTGTGGTCAGTAGCCGGTCACTAGTAACTATCTCAGAAATAGAAGTTGGAAGATTGGTTTAAAGACGGGGCTGGCACATGTAGGTTTTCGCATGCTGTAGTTAATAACGAATTGAAAGAGTGTTCGTTTAGGTTGAATATTATAATCAGGTTTTATTCTGATCTTTGCAATTAGTTAGAGAGATCAAGTCATGTTCGGGTCAACTTTGGCCACCATTCTTTTGCGCGTGCGCCGATTGTTTCGCGTTAATACATGCCCACGTATCGGAGTTAGGGATTACGTAACCAATGGGGTAATAAGTAAACAATGACCGACCAGTCTATCACACCTTATTTGTCTCGCTTCAGTGGAAATAGATTTAATGAGGTATTATATAATTAACTTTGGCAGCTAGTTACTGAACAATTGTTGTCATAACTTCAACGTGGAACGTTAGAAACAAAAGCTCTCTCTTTCTCTCAAGAAGCCAGATGGATTAAGATTAAGCCATAAAATAAAACGTAAATTTGTTACATTTTGTTTCAAACAAAAACCTACAATGTTTTAATATATCTGCTGTACTGGTGATTGGTGCTATAGTCTTGAACATAGAAAAATGTGACGTTAAACCCTATTTCATTCATTCATTTATTTTAATTAATTTGTTGAAATTTGATTGGATTAAACCAAATTATTGTAGTAGTCGTTTGATTGAGTACGCGCTGGTCTGTCACTATAGTGTGTTCAAGTCCCAATCTGATAATAAGCTTCTTTGTTGTCTAAAATATCAACAGAGGCAGATAAAACCTTGATTGGTGATTGACAAAATTCCTAATTACAATAATGTTCAAATATAGTTTTTCTTTCTATAATAATATTGTTTCCACGTGCATTCGATTAGATTTTTTCTTAAACCCAATTAATGTCCCTTGCCAGTGGTGCAGGCAAGGGACAACGTATAGTCGTCGTTCGGATGAGACGAAAAACCGAGTTCCATTGTACACATTGGTGTGTACGTAAAAGACCCCTCGGCGGTTCGAATTCGATATAAGAGTAGGCCGTAGTCAGAGCAGAACAATAGGACGTTAAACCCAATTTCATTCATTCCTTATTCTCTAATGAATATTCCTTTTAATTTTTTAAAGATTGCAAAGTGGTCTCTTTCCTGTAGTGTGTTCACAAGCGTTTAAAGCTAAATGTAAACGGAAATACAGTCGAAAAATTTTGAAAGTATATATGATCACTTCTTGAATAATTTCCATCTGTTCGTTTTCGCATTAAATATGTATATGTAATGGTGATTATTCTGAAATTTCAATTGGCAGAGCGCCGGTTTTTTTCGTTATACACCGCACCCTGTCCTTCGGTCCATCGGTCAATAATTGGCATGTGAACAAGATAGACACAACAGTTTTTGCCGATTCTTTCAAATTCAGTGTGAAGCATTGCAAATATGGTGGGAAGCATTGGGATCAAGAGAGAACGAAACCTATCGGTAATCAACGTTTCGCGAACTTCCGTTCCAGAATTAACACAAATATACTATAAATAACAGAAAATGAATGCATAATCATATTATTAATCATATCATTTGTGAAGCATTGGGCTCATGAGATACCCACCTATTCCCAAAACCCTTTGAACACGATATAGGTTTCTGTGTGTTACATGTTTTCTTTCAAATTTAATGTGAAGCATTGGGTTCGTGAGAGGACGAACCATAGTGATATTCAGCCTTCTGCAATCTTCGTTACGAAGTTACCTCCACCCTATCCTTTGTCGAAAACCTTGTAAACACGATAGGGGCTATAGATTTTTTAACGTGACCGCGTCTTTTCCGGAGGTACCTCTCCCCTTTGCCGAAACCCTTACGAACGCGGCGAAAGAGTCCATAGTTTCTAACAGATCTTCAAATTGGGGAAGCGGGTGTATGTGTGTGTGTGTGGGGGGGGGGGTGCGGCCATGCGAAAAAACCCTTATCTATATTCATCGTTCGGCGACCTTCTTTTGTGACATACATGTCGGCCATAGTCTTTTTTTGGGTTATGAGAGGACGAATTTATCGATATCCAGCGTTCCGTAATTATTACCCCCCCCCCCCGCCCCACCCCCATCGATAGAGACTGCAATATTTAACATTTTTTTTTATAAAAAAATTGGTGTGAAGCATTATGGTCAATGAGCGGACGAACATTATGAATATTCAACGATCCGCGAACTTGAACGTATAATCATATTGTTAATCATGTCATCGCCTTTGATTTTCGGATTTATGAATACATGTATCATTCTTAATCTTGCACAAAAACATCTTTAAACGTTTCCAGAATTATAATCAAATAAGGTACATGTATCATTAAACGAAGAAATTGTCAAAATCTCCAATCAAAAAGCATTTAGATAGGTCTGCTTACGTCAGAAAATGAGTTCAAGGTAAATCTTTTCTAGTAAGTAAAACTAACTATTTATATTGGCACGGTAAGAGTGCTTAATGAAGTCTGTTTCTAGTGTTTGACGGGTCAAACAAGAGTCATCGTGATGCCAAACAGATGTGTATTATATAATGTTAATTAGCAGTCATATTACTCTATGTTCGTCTTTATTAGATTTTCTACAAACGTACAAATGACCAGTAATACTATTACAATTAACGAAAGAGATACACCGCATAATGGCACACGCTTCTATAATGGCGTTATCGTTTCATGTGACTCTATTGAATTTAGTTTAAAATCTATAACAGTACTATCATGCGTTGATCAAAGAGAAAGTTTTCAAAATTTCCCGTGTATGAATAAAGTAAACACCATGAAATCATATTAAATAATCAACAGAAAGGAAGTAATAATCCAATTACCTTTTAAAAAGTATAATAAATGGTTATACTTTTCAAGAAAAAGTTAAACAAAATATAATAAAAAAAAACAGAAAAAAATGTAATAATAACCGCGGCAAATTTTAATAAAAAAGGAAACATGTAATAACTACCGAGACAAAGTAATAACTACCGAGACAAAGTAATAATCACCGAGAAAATGTAATAACTACCGAGACAAAGTAATAATCACCGAGAAATTTTAAACTCCTAGACAAAATAATAATCACCGAGAAATATTAAACTCCTAGACAAAATAATAATCACCGAGAAATATTAAACTCCTAGACAAAGTAATAATTACTGGGAAATATTAAACTCCTAGACAAGGTAATAATCACGTACTAGAAAAATGTATTCAGCTTAACGATAGGTATAATGCAATCTAAGGAAAATAAAAGTGAGGTAAGTCTGAACAATGCAGTAGAGGGAGAACTCAACATTCTAAAGGAAGTATTTGTTGAGCTTTCGAAATACAGTAGAATCTGTATTAACCTGCCACTGACGGGAATTTGCATGACTGGCCGCTTAACGAGAGTGACAAATTGAATCGTTTTCTCGAGATCCTAAATACTTTGAGACAAATGTGTTTTTGGTGCTTACAAAAATATAAAATGATAAAATGAATCGCACGAGATACATCACGCGACACATATATATTTTAAAATCTAAGTATTTAAAAAGAAATGAAATTGTCATTATGTCATTAGGGGAGGTAATTGTGTTGTTATTTCCTGTGTCATAGATTTTTAAGGTTGGGAAATAATGCCCATGATCGTATAATAGTGATTTGATAAAAGACATAGAAATAATTATGTTTTGACTTTCTTAGAAAATTTGAAATTCTCGCTTTAAGAATAAGATTCAAATAAATCAACAAAATTAGAATTTATTGAATGAAATCATGATCAGTTTTATTTGTAAAAAATTGCAATAAAAAGATATTGACATGAGCTTCAGATCTGTTGAGCGGTCAGATTTTTTAAAAGGATACACAAATTTCTGAATTCTAGCAAGTTAATTAGAAAATTTAGTTAATTAAGAACATTTTAAGAACTGGTATTATATATTCTAAAGATATATTCGACTGATCTCCAGACTATTTGTCTTTAATTACTTACTAGCATTAAGAACCTTGGACAGTATACACTGTAAGCCTTTTCTGTAATTTTTACAGACTTGTTTCTGTAAAACGCCTACAGCGCAGGTCTGTTATCCTGATTACAGACACGAGTCTGTTAATATTTAAGAAATACAGAATTTCGTCCGTAAATATGACATACGGGTGTTTAAATTAAAGTGACGTCATCGGTCTTCCTGGGCGCCATTATTGCGAAGACCGTTAGTTAGCGGCAAAGAGGAATCCCTCAACATCGAGCACAATAGTTGAACACTACAGTCAATACCAAACATTGCAGTTTTAGGTAAGTATACAGTAGGGACACATCTTTGTTTGACATAGATTGATTCTTAGCATTCGTAAAAATGTACGGTAACTGATTTATGAAATAGTAGGAATAGATCGACTCTTCTACTTCTAGACAAATGGACATACATGATACTCACATACACTGTCACAGTGTTAGTGTTAGCACAGAGTAAAAATACACTCTGGTGTTAGTGCTAGGCCTAATATTTTTTCGCATTGTTTTTGGAGGCTTCAGTTCTAGTTGAGGCTACTCGGATGACATAATAATAACATTGATATAGAAAAAAAATATATGAACTATGAAGGGCTAACATTTCTGGGCTTCATTAAGTTCATAGTCTCAGGTCTGTAGGCTAGGCCTACCACTGAAAACCATTATTAAGAATTTATTGAATTGTCAATGCATTGTCTGGATAATGATCTTTAATTTTTTATTTTACTAATTTTTTTAGGCACAGCTTATTGCATCCTTGAGTGTCATTCCTGTCATCTATAGAGTGGGCTACCCAGCCTTTCTCTGGGTTAGTAAAATTTTTTCAAAGGTAGGCCCTACCGGTAAAGAAAAATTATAAGATTGAACTTACTGAAGATAATAATTTTGGGAGTTGA